TATCTTCAGACGCTACAAAACTACAAATATGAATCTTGGCCACCACATGCTAGCTGTTGTTGCATGTGGCATACATTAATTTCCGGAGATGAAAGAGTGTGATAGTATAATCCGAAGAACATGTTGTTTGACTTGACATCGCTTGTTCTAAGATGCTCCCAGAATTCCTTGGCACATGGCCGAGCACCCTATTTCATTCCAACATTTCTTTACAGTATCCCATTCAATTGGTTCTTGGATAATACATATATGTGTATCTATACATGGAGAGAGAGAGAGTTGAATTCTGTACTTAAGAGGCAAGTGGATCACAGACAGAATTCGATAGTATTAGCTAAGAAAAGCTGGCATTAATTAGTCAACCAAACCATCATCTGCACTCTTTGGACATCTGGCATGGTCACAAGAAGGTGGGAAGCTCAATGTTAGCGACAAGTTTCTTTCTTGTGTGGTGGGTGAATCGCTTGAACGATTCTTCGCTTCAGTTAGCTTTTGGCGAGGAAATGGAACAGTTGACTTTGACTTTTGTGGGAGAAGTAGATCACGAACAAAAATTATCTCTCGGTACTCGGTCAACTCGTACGTAAGCCTCATATTGGGTTGTAAGAAAACACACGTCACAGGAAATATGCTAATGAGATTGATGTTAAGTTCTATTGTGTAGAGCAAAAGATCCCAAACTATAGATATATAGTCTAATAAAATTATATTTTGAAAATATAAGAAAAAAAAGTTTATAGATGAATTTTTTTTTTCTTCACAATTTTATAAAAACTATTTTATAAAAGTGTTATAAAATAATTTCACTATTTTTTCTCCTTTTTCGAATCAAATTTTCCTTTAAATGAATCAACCCATTCATCTAGGCCAGTTCAACCCAAGATTTAGACCGGTTCAAAAATAATACTACATCATATTTAGTTTATAAGAATGCATTGATTATTTGAATAAATACTTTTTAAAATAATTTATTATATTAATATATATATACATTAATTATTTAAATAAATAATTTTAAAAATTAATAAAAAAAATGTATATTAATTAATATAATATTACTTTAAACCGGTTGAAATCTTGGGTTGAACCGGTCTAAGTAAATGGGGTTGTCTCAATTGGATGAAGATAAAGATTGGAGAGGAGGAAAAAGACTTCGATGACAGTTTTCAGTAGCCTACACCCAAGAAAGAAGGGTTTGGAGAATTAGTCTTGCAACGGTGCACATCGACTGATTCCCACCCCAAGTCATCATCAATTCCAGCCTCGGCTGATGACCAAAAGTAAGACGGATGCTGTTCCAGAAGAGGGAGCAGAGACTGCGAGTAGCCAATCTGGACTCGGTTGCGAAGGAGTCCTGTAGTCCATGTTATCGAGAGCATGCAACGCCCAGAGCTTACGCTCCTCTTCCTCCGTGACCTCGAGAGAATACAGTGTTCTTCGCTCATCTGTCGGTAGAGGTTTGCCGTAATACAAAGATCGAAGGAGTGTGGGACACTGTGATCCCATCTGAGACTCGGAGAAGTCGTGTGTTGGTGCAGAGGACGACGACCAAGTCAATGCCTTCGCAACCCATTCGAGACACTTTCCCTCCTCCTTGACGTGTGGAAGATGAGTCTCCCGTTGACCTCTTCCTATTTATATCTTATGCCTCCCGGACTCAGATCCGAAGCAAAGACCATGGACGACATCTTGTCTCAAGTCTTTGACGCATGCAAGCTAGCTAGAGATCTGGAGAGCTGCCTCCGCCTTTCCACCTGCCCGATCGATCCCCGCTTCCTCTTGGGCTCCTGCGAGGACATCGCCGGTGCCTTCAGCAACGCCGTACATGTGATACGCTCACAAACGCCGTCTTCTTGCACCTCCCAATTGCTCTTTCGGGAGGCTTCGGGAGAAGGCTACATGCAAGCCATCCATCTGCTCCGACAAGGCGACCATCCGTTCTGTGCCGCCGGGCCGTCGGCGAACGACATGGCCTTCTCCGGTTTGCCGCATCTGGTGCCGGAAATCCAATCGACCGGTGCGATGGGGGGCTCGAGCTATGCCAACACCCCTGACACGGACGTGGATGCGCTCGTGGGCGGCAGAGGAGAGGCTCCGGTCGCGCCATCCGGGCGGACAGCGGACGGTTCCTTGCAGCAAAGGTCTTGCAGGAAGAGGTGGGATCCCCAACCTCGAGATCAGAGGTTGATTTCCTTGCACTTGAGCTCGTGCGTGTTCACCAACCGCCGCCGCCGCCATGTTCACCCACGAGACTAACAACGGCAGAGATATCTGAAAAGCTACTTTGAGGTCAACTGTTGGAGAACTAATCGTTACTACTTGAATTGGCAGGAAGGAAGGCACTGTGACGCAGAGAGTGCCGGTCCTTCGAACAGGGAACATGGAGATACCTCCCAACGATGGGTACAAGTGGAGGAAGTACGGTCAGAAGAAGATACTCAATTCGAGCTTTCCAAGGTAAGCTTACGATGTCCTGGTAAAGATTCGTGGATTCTCGATGAGCTACTCATGATCTGCTTGATACTGCAAGAACATGATTTGACTTCGGCAGGAGCTATTACCACTGCAACCACAAGAGTTACTACCGCTGCGACGCGAAGAAGATGGTGCAAAGGTCGGACGACGATCCGTACACGTTCCAAGTGACATACTGCGGCAGCCACACCTGCCACACTTCTCCGACCCCGAAGCTGATCCCCACCCTGGTGCCCAGCGGCTCCGTCAACGACAACGACGACGGTGGCAATGGCAACCCGCAGGGCGCGCCCTTGGGCCTGGAAGCCATGCACCCGGTGGCATCGCAGTCTACTCCGATTCATCTGCAGAACTGGCTCGAGGGCAATCCGAGTAGCACAGGAGCCCTCCTCGTTGCTCACAGTGGAGTAAGCAGCCGCAGCAGCAGACAAGTAGCGCAGGTGCAGGGTGGAAGAGACATCGACTGCTCCGTGGCGGATGCGCTGCTCAACACAGCGAGCAGCGGCAGTAGCATGGATGTCATCGTCTCGCCCACGCATGGAGAGTAAACGATGGTCTGATCAAAATGATGAGAGCTGTAGAAGTTAGATCAGAGACGAATCCTTTCTGGCCAACCTTGTAGCTTAGCTTCTAATAAATGGCTACCTTTCTTGGTAGCTCTGTTTTGGTTCTTGAAGTCACATCCATCTCTGTTCTTATGTCACCCTGGTGACGAACTTGTTTCCATCACCTACTCGTGCGATGAACTTCCAGTTGCCACTTCCGATGACAAAAGAACTACAAGTGGATTCACCTCAAAGACCATAAGAGAGGACTACGACCGAGGACTTGCTCTCTACGGAACAGAGTCAGGGGCATGAAACAGGCGTGCGAGCGCTGATTCGAGGCCGTGAATTGGCCTCGCAGCTGAAAACCATTCTGCTGCAATCGGAGATCGGTGGAAGAGATCTCAAAATGCTTCATCAGAAGCGTCAACGCCTCGAGTGCCAGAGAAGCCTCGCCGGTTGATCCAAGTTCCGGTGCTCTGCGGGAGGACGTTGGCGGTAAGATTGCACAGTACGGGAGGAGAAGGTTCTTTCATTTGCTGTAGAAGGCTCAAAGAAACTGTGTTTTGCCGACAACATTAAGGAGCCACAGATGTTCATGCCATCGACACCACTGGAAGATGATCGTTGTTGGAAAACGTATGGTCAGAAGAAGATTCTTCATGCCAAATATCCAAGGCATCGGAACCTACGCATTGAATGCAAATTGACTTCTTTCTGAAAGCCTGCACGGTGATCATGAAATCAGAACTTTGTGTTGATTGTTGGCATGCTCTACTACAAGTGCAGCCAGAAGAAGAATCAAGGTTGCCGAGCAATAAAACATGCGCAGAGGACACAGGATGACCCTCCATTGTATCTCGTCACCTACATAGGGCAACACACAAGCGCAGATGAACTCCATGCTGCACAGTTGGAATCAAGAGCTTCTTCTCCCACAGAACAACGATGCAGCTAAGATACATGGATTGCATGGCAATGGCTAGTAAGAAAAGGAAGCAAGCATAGGTTTTGCCATGTCATTTTCTAGCACTTTTGTTAGATGAAGCTATAAATGGATTCTCAAATTACATCCTTTGATGATAGAAATGTACCAGTGAGTACAATCCCTTTGGTAAATCTACCACAGCTTGGAAATCTCTTTGGTTGAAGAACAGGTAGAAACACAGCTTGATGCCACTGTGAAGGCATCTATTTAGAAGTTGCCGCCTTCTTTTCTTTGAATCAAATATAAAATTTGCACACTCTACAAGTTCATATTGTGTTGTTAAGGAATAAAAAAATGATTTCAAGCTTGACCTATCAAAGACAAATATATATACCTCAGCATCAAAAGAATCAAAAATAAACATGTAGGTATCTCAAAAGAAGTGAGCTTTAGCCTCAAAAGAAGCAGCCAACACACATCAACAATGGCAGCAGAAGCTTTGGTGGATGTGGAGAATGCCCATCTCATGTGATGGACTTTATCATGGGCATTATGATGATGATGGAAGACAGACAGTGGTGTGGTGCAGAGTTCCATCACCATCACAGACCTCCAATGTTTCTCATATGGAATCCAAGTTCCCAAAGTCATATCATATTCTTACATACAATGATGTAAATTGCATCATTGTGTCATTGAGAAAGGCCACCTCTTACTTTAATACTCTCCACTGAGGGGTGATTTGTGAATGCATAACTTTGCATCATTGCTTTGATCAAAGCAAGCCTTTTGATATTTGGATAGAATTATTTTGGAAACATGTATGTAAAAGGAATGATATTTGGATGAAATCAATTGGTTTTTTTTTATAGGGCTTTTACTCTTATTAATAGAATGCATGAGAACTCAGTTTCTCCATTGATGGCAAAATCGGGGTTTAAGGGATCCTTCGGAGAGTCTACTTGTCATTTCACCTTCGAAGCATTGATTGACCTCAATAGATTCTGCCACGCTTCTCCGACCCCACTCCCACAGCGAGAGTGCTCCCTTTTCTTCCACCGACCTCTCAGCTTGAGCTGCTAAGCGCAGAAAAGCTGTGATCTTTCGGAGGCAACCGAACCCCCCTCCTCATCCCACCTCAACGCCTACTCTCCATACCACATACCCTAATGGCATTCTACTCCCGGCTTTAGCTTTGCGAGCGATCCGTTGCTTTCATTCACGGCTTGTGAGCGCAAAACAAGAGCCATTTCTTGGTGTTCTTCGTCGTTTTTCTTGGTAAAAGTCTCTCCTTTTCTTCATTCCGTTACCTAAATCCAAGAAAAGATGTATTTTTTGAGTTGGAACAGCTTAATCTGAGCTCTTTTTGGCCGAAAGATTGAAGCGGAAGCAGAGGGATATCTGTCGAAGATGAAAAGCCTTTGGTTTGGTGTCATTTGCCTCCTCTCATTCCTTCCCCTGTTCGCCGAATCCGGAGCTGCAACTTTGAACGACGACGTCCTCGGCCTGATCGCCTTTAAGGCCGGCATCGAAGACCCCCGGTCCAAGCTCGCGTCTTGGAACGAGAACGACAACGATCCCTGCAACTGGGACGGCATCAAATGCGACCCGAAGTCCAACCGCGTCGCCGTGGTCGCGCTGGATGGCTTCGCCCTCTCCGGAAAGCTCGGCCGCGGCCTCCTCCGGCTTCAGTTCCTCGACACGCTGTCCCTCTCCGTGAACAACTTCTCAGGTAGCGTTACCCCTGCCTTCCTCCGCCTCGAGAGCCTTCGGACGCTGGATCTCAGTGCGAACAACCTGTCCGGCACGATCCCGGATGGGTTCTTCGGGCAATGTAGGTCCATTCGAGACATCTCCTTGGCGAAAAATTCCATCTCGGGGAAGATTCCATCGGATGTTGGCGCTTGCTCGACCCTTGCGTCCCTGAACCTCTCGTCGAACCAGCTTTCTGGTTCCTTGCCTGGCGAAATCTGGTCTTTGAATGCCTTGAGGTCGCTCGACCTGTCTCATAATTCTCTTGTTGGCGAGATACCGGTCGGAATCAGCAGAATGTTCAACCTGAGAATGATCAGCTTGAGAGGCAACCGGCTTACTGGCCAGTTGCCGAATGATACCGGCAAATGCTTGCTGTTGAAGTCTCTTGACGTCGGAGAGAATCAGCTCTCCGGTGACCTCCCAGAATCGATGAGGAACCTTTCAACATGTACCTATCTTAGCTTGAGCTCAAACTCTTTGTCCGGTGAGGTTCCGGCATGGATTGGGGATATGAACAGCCTAGAGACGCTAGATCTGTCGAGGAACAGGTTTTCCGGTGGGGTTCCAAGTTCATTAAGCAATCTGCAGTTCTTGAAACTGTTGAAGCTTTCTGATAACAGTTTCTCCGGCAGCGTGCCAGATTCACTGGCTGCCTGCAGGAGCTTGTTGGACGTGGATCTCGGTCGGAACACATTGACTGGGAATCTCCCATCATGGGCTTTCGAAACAGGTTTCAGGCAGATCTTGCTGCCGGGGAATAAACTAAGTGGACCGATCGATGTTCCTCGCGTTACTGATTCAACTCTCCAAGTACTGGATTTATCTGGCAATGCCTTTTCTGGCAAATTTCCGAAGGAAGTTTCAAGCCTTAGAAGCATAGAATTCTTGAATCTTTCATCCAACTCACTATCCGATTCCATCCCTATTGACGTGGGCGAGTTGAAGTCTTTGGAAGTTCTAGATGTGAGTCGGAATTTGCTGAGTGGGAGGATACCATCAGAGGTTGCCCTTGCAACATCCCTCAGAGAGCTGAGGCTAGAGGGGAATTCTCTCACCAGAGAGATACCGGTTCAGATAGGGAGTTGCTCTTCACTTGCATATCTGTAAGTTTCTCACCTCTCATTTCTTCCATTTTCGTTCTTATGGATGGCATGTCTATTATAGCTTTATCATAACTCTATCTGCTTGTTATTGGTCATGTAAATAAAGATTGAATCAGATGCCCTGAATGCAGTCGGTCTCGATTTCAAGTGGTTAATCATATTTCTAGTAACTAAATGCTTACACGACATCTCTTGTTTGGACCTTTTTTTTTCATGCAGGGATCTGTCGCAAAACAATCTCACCGGTTCAATTCCTGAAACATTAGCTAATCTTACCAACCTTCGAGTTGTTGATTTCTCCCGCAACCGGCTATCAGGAACCCTTCCTAAGCAGCTCTCTGACCTTCCTCACCTCCTTTCCTTCAACATCTCCCACAACCAACTCTCTGGAGGCCTCCCTGCAGGAAGTTTCTTCAACAACATTCCTCCTTCTTCACTAACAGACAACCCTGGTCTTTGTGGATCCACTGTCAACCGCTCTTGCCCCGGCGTCCTCCCCAAGCCCATTGTACTTGACCCCAACTCCTCACCTGATCCATCATCAAACCCCGTGTTATCACCTCGCAACCTCAGCCACAAGAAGATTATTTTCAGCATTTCTGCCCTCATTGCTATTGTAGCTGCTGCTGTAATTGCGCTGGGTGTCATCACCATCACTGTTCTGAACTTCCGTGCCCATGCATCTGCCTCCAACTCTGCTGTGGAATTGGCCCTGTCAGATGAATACCTTAGCCATTCTCCGGTCACTGATGCCAACTCTGGCAAGCTTGTGATGTTCGCTGGTGGTGACCCTGAATTCAGTGCCGGTGCCCATGCTGTGCTGAATAAGGATTGTGAACTGGGTCGTGGAGGTTTTGGTGCAGTCTACAAGACAGTCCTCAGAGATGGCCGATCTGTAGCGATCAAGAAGCTTACAGTTTCGAGCTTAGTAAAGTCACAAGAGGATTTCGAGGAAGAGGTGAAAAGGCTGGGAAAAGTGCAACATCCAAATCTTGTGGCCCTCGAAGGCTATTACTGGACTCCTTCCCTCCAACTTCTTATCTACGAGTTTGTGCCTGGTGGCAGTCTGTACAATCACCTCCATGAGTGCTCTGCCTCTAACACCCTCTCATGGCAAGAGCGGTTTGATATAATTCTTGGTATCGCTAGAAGTTTAGCACATCTCCATCAGCATAAAATAATACACTACAACCTTAAATCAAGCAATGTCCTTCTTGATGGATCTGGTGAGCCCAAGGTGGGGGACTGTGGACTGGCAAAGCTGCTACCGATGCTGGATAGATACGTGCTAAGTAGCAAGATACAGAGTGCTTTGGGATATATGGCGCCAGAATTTGCATGTCAGACAGTGAAGATCACAGATAAATGCGACGTGTATGGATTTGGAGTGCTAGTGCTCGAGATCATGACGGGAAAGAGGCCAGTGGAATACATGGAAGACGATGTGGTGCTGCTGTCCGATATGGTGAGGGAGACACTAGATGAAGGGAAAGTGGAGGAATGCATGGACGAGAGACTGTGCGGGAAGTTTCCTCTTGAAGAGACCATTCCGGTGATGAAATTGGGTTTGATATGTACTTCACAGGTACCATCTAACAGGCCAGAAATGGCTGAGGTTGTGAACATATTAGAATTGATCAGATTCCCTCAGGATAGCCCAGAGGAAGATGACTTTTGTTGAGGGTTTCTGCTGAAATCTCTTGTTTTTCTCCCCTTGGAAGTCTATGATATAATCATTTAGCTAGACAAAGACGTTGCATCATGACATACTGTGGAAGTGGAATCTGATTTGCTTGAAATGAGAAGGAAAGAAGAGTTGCAGGCTCATGACAAGCAATCTGATTGATGAGCACAAATCCTTGTAAAATTTTGTTGTTTTGCATTCTGCTAGTAGAGGAGGTTTCCTTTTTTCTTTGACTAATTTTCATATGCTTCTGAAAACTGGATTACCTTTCACCAGAAACCCTTCTGAAGAAAATATATTACCTTGCGTTCTACTTGGATATCATTTTGTTCACTGCAAAGCATCGTTCTTGAGATGCTGGCCGGCCAAAGGCTGATCCGCAACTCTTCATTGGTACGTCAAGTACTATCTAAGAGATCATCAATCTGGACGGAGAGATCATCAATCTGGACGGTTTAGCTTCTGTTTACTCTTTTCCGCATGATAATGGTTGTTTTTTTTCTATGCATGATATTCCTACCAAACGCTTACCTAAGTTGCTTATAACGATCGTTTCTGCAATTCTCTTTCCATGTTTTTGGCCTGCAATGTTCATAAGGCACCTCAAATGTATTGATTGTTATTGAGCATGCAGTATTCCATACTGAAGTGTTTTGGTTTCAAGGGTGACTTGGTCCCTAACATCTGCATCAGTAACATTTTGCATTCTGAACATAGAAACTTATAAAGCCTTGTTCATCTTCAAGGTTTGATTTAACTTGCACCTCTTCTTATTGGAGTGATAGCACCAGCAAAGGAGTCATACCTAACCAGCCTTCAGATACCATTCTCATTCTTTTCCTGAAGGTCTTTACCCTCATCAATGGCATCGGTTTTTGATTAGTTTCCCACCAGCTAAACTTGAAGCGACTAGCTAAGGAGCTGAGGGCGGGCCTCGATACATCGGTAAGATTGTTCTTTTATTTTTTTTAATATTGAAAGATAAAATTATGCATATTGACTCTTTTCATACACCGCATTAGCGGGAATCTTGTACATTAGAAATGCTCCCTCTTAACTAGCTAAGGAGCTTTGTTCCCATCCCTATCCATGTCTGCAGAGTTAAGTCTTCTTTTCATGTGCTTAGAAGGAGATAGCTGCAATAATCTATACCTAGTCTAACAGCTTGTATCAAATAAATAACATGCTGCTTCAGACAGCAAAGTCAACAGAAGTTTGGCTGAGATCCTATCACTTCAGTAAAAAAATGGATGCCACTTCAATGGTAAAAGAGTGGAAGTACTTGGCAGTGGCAGATGGAATCAAGCAGTGTGATGATGCCACAGAAGCAGCACTACACCTTTGGAACTGTGAAACTGAGATGCTTCACATGTAGAAGCTTTCTCTGACATGATTCAGTGTGATGATGCCACAGAAGCAGCACTACATCTGGGTTGTCCAACATCTAGAACTCGAGTAATTGTCTCCTATAAGCAGATCACTGCAGGTCTGAAGTAGCTTGGGAATCGTTGCCAGTAAGATAACAATGTTAATGAGCCTGTTTGTCCTCACCATTTGGCCTCACATTGTTATTCTCTGCCCAATTCATCACATGAATGCAATCTGTTTCCTTTCTTGTAGTATTTCTTAATCCTTCGAGATGCTCCATGAATTAAATATTATGGTGCACATCTTCTTTAATCAGTTCCATTTGCAAGTCCAAAGGTGCCTCACTGGTCCCTTGTCATCACATTTATAGCCTCATCTTCTCGGTCCTTTGCGAGAGGCATATCATTGTCCCAATAAAAGACACACAGCCCGTTGTTTCTTGCTGTACAAAGGGAACCAGTGACGCTTCGAAGAGCAACTATGGTACAGGCATGGCATCGATCAAGAAGTGTGCTCTGTGCAGTCTCTTCCATGCGACGGGTGTTGGGAAATGACTGAAGGCAGCTTTGGCATCTTCCTGTTGTTTGTTTAAGCAACACTAGGATTCAAATCATCTGCTTCTCTCCATCGAGTCACCCAGATCAGGAACTCTTGGAACCAGCAGAGAGATGAGCAGCAGCAGCCGGGGGAAGTGATCACCAAGAGCAGCAGATGGAGACGATAACCAAGAGATACAAGAAAAATATATGCTGAGGACGGATTCGAACTACAACTGTAATCCTTCTTTATTAAGGAGCTAGAAAAGATACATACATCCAAAGTCTCCTGCACGCATGCAGTGCTCACCTATTGACCGGTGTCTTCCCCTCCCTCCTCACAGGCGGCCATGGCCGCGAGGGGAGAATGGTGGCCTCCCTCTGCGCGTCCACCACGTCCCTCAGCTGCTCCTCCGACACCCCAAAGCCTGCGGCCAGCTCCGGCCCCATCATCGCCGTCAGGATCGAGCTCGCCCCCACCAGGAACTGGGGTCTGTTCCTCCTCGCCGACGTCGTGAACCCGAAAAACTCCAACGGACCGCTCCGCGACGCCACCTGACAGAAGGGAAAGTAGCGCGGGATCCAGAACACGTCACCCTCCGCCACCTCCGCCTTCATGGCGCCGGTGCCGTTGGGCGACACCACATGAACCTCCCCTGATCCGCCGAGCACCACGCCGTACTCCGTCGCCCTCGGGTTCACGTGAGGCGCCATCATCGACCCCTGACGCCATAATGACATGTCGTAACAGGACACGGATCACAACGCTAAACCGCTCAAGGTACAGAACGATACCGCAGTAAGGTTGACGACGTAGACTCCGATGTCCGAGTGTTTCAGAGGATGGTAGTCGTGCTCATCGAGGGCGAGACTCCATCCGTAATCGTTCCTGAAGTCGGGATCCCGATCGTATACGTTGTAAGGATCGGGCGAGCGAACCGGACGTTTCTTTCCTCTGTTGCGATCACCGAAGCCACCTCCAAGTATGCCCGTTAGCAGCTTTCTCCATGTCCACCATCCATCCTCCTCCTCCTCGTCGTGGAATTCTAATAAACCTTTCCGCCGCCGGCGGTCGATTCGCTCGGCCGCTTCACCGGTCAACAAAACTATTGGCCCTCCAGTTTGCGACCCCAGGATTGCCTGCACTTCCTCTTCGGTGACCTGCGCATCACCCAGATATCACCTCGCTGATCCTTACAGCTTGTAACTTAGTGGGCTTACATTGAATGCCGTAGAGAGGGTTCCCATGTCGAATCCTGCAACCACCGAAGTCGGGTACATCCCTCCACCGATGAAGAACGACTGCAGAAACAGCGCATAGTAGGGAAACGATGGAATCAGATTCAAGTGTAGAGTTGACTTGGCTGAGCCAGCCGAGGGGACAGGAGTTGCTTCACCTGATAAGGGCTGAAATCCATGCTATCCGAGGTATCGATACTGCAGATGATCTGCAACCTCTGACCCTCGCCGGCGTTGACCATGTAGAAAGTGGAACCAGCAGGGATGTGAATGATGTCTCCCATCTTGAGTTGCCTCTCCGCCAAACCATCCTTGTATATCCACCCAACCCTCACATCCCCTGTAGCACATCGATCACTTTGTGTGTTCTGACTCACGTTTCTAAGATCATATAATCTTAGGGTTCTGAAGGTCCTGACAAGAAGGAACAGAGGGTGCTTACCCCTGTGAACGAACAGGATGAGGCTCGAATCCAAATACTGAGGGATGAAGAGAGTCTTGGGCTCCATGAAGATGAATCCGATGTGCATGGGGCTAACAGGACCGCCCCCACCCCACTTGGAAGACGACCCGAAGCCCCTCACCACCCTCACCTCTCCACCCTCCGTCTTCACCACCTGCTCCGACTTCTCCAGCTTGAAAGGGCTCGCAGTCGTGCCCCGGACCTCCTCCTCTCCTCCGATCTCCCTCTCTCGGTATCCCGTCACTGCCATCGCACAACAAGACGCCACCGCCAGCAGCTGCAGCAGCAAGAGCGTCACTTCACTGCGTCTCCCCATCGATGTCGTCGCCTCGATTGATCTGCTACTGCAAGCGAGCATAGCGTGAAGCGAAAGAGGAGAGGGCAGGCCTTAAAGGGTCCGGCAGTTGAGCGTGGACGTGACACGTCTCGTGCATGCATGGCACGTTCGTGTTTACGTGTCCCAAGTCGGTCAGTCTGCGTGTGCTACGAGTAGGATTGAGGACGAAGGCATCTAACCGACGGTCGTTGCGAGTATCGTTTCTCCAGGACGGAGATCCCACCATCCACAGTCCCAAACGCGAATCTTAAAGTTCAGTTCATATATATATATATATATATATATATATACTTATTTGACATAAATTGGTCATAATCATGCATATGGTGCTCGTTATATTTCTATTTTATTGCGAAATTCTAAACTTGTTTGTTCTACTTATTAGATAATTTGAACGTTCAAAAAAATGTATGCATCCTTAATATTTATTTATTTTTAAATATATATATTTAAATGCTTAAAGGGAAATTTAAGTCTCTTTATATAATGATAAAAGAGAAAACAATGCTACTACATTCATTACTCTCTCATGCCCTCATCGTGTTTTCTTAGTTCATATAATCATATTTCATTATATTATTTTTTAAATAACATTATAAATATTATAGGGTGATTTTTCTCATATAGTGTTTTTTTTTTCTCGTATAGCACTTTTCATTTTTTATCTCAAAAATACCTTTCCTTTCCTTCCTCTTTGTTGCCTTAACCTCGTAGATGTTGCACGTGTTTCTTCACCCATTATCTCCGTGTTGTTGGCATTGTCAACTCATTGCTTTTGCTCTTGCTCGCTCACCCATTTAACACGAGGTTTTATGCGTCATTCCCTCGTCATATAATGAGCCCTTCCCACCATATTGCGAAGGCCTCTTATGATATTGTTGAAAAAAAAAGGTGGTTCATGACCTATGTATATGTCGTCCCGCAGAGTCAAGGAAGGAAAGTAGATGACTTATGTTAAAGTTGACAACAAATATGATAGATTAATCTTGATATCACTAGCTTTACCGTAGGTCATCTCTCTTCCTTCTTCTTTATGGAATAGTAAACACAAGGAGGTGAGGAGCACGATAAAAAAAAGATATGGAGGTAAGGGACATAACGGAAAAGAATGAACCTCACAGACAAGAAACCATAGTTATTCGGTGTAGACGGGATGAAGATAATAATGATGAAGGGAATGAAGGGTGTCTTCAAAATTATAGAAATGAAAACATGATAAAAAAAAAGAGGCCTTTTGATAGAAATAATCTAATATTATATGTTTTTATTTTTTAAAAATATTAAATATAGGGTTGAATCAATCGATTTAATCAATGATAAAGTGACTTAACTTGATCGACGCTCGATCCGATTATGTGTATAATTGATGAGAATGATTCGAAGATAAAAAAACCCAAACAACAAAAAAAACAAAATATAAAAATTATAGAACAATATATCGTGCCATTTGCGTTGTCCCACCAGAAAAAAAAGGTACCCAATATTACCTACCATTATGCGTCAAGTACTTGAAATAATGCTTCATTAAAGTTCAAATTCCAGGTCACACCACACAGATGCTATGAGGTACGAGCAAACGGCATACGCGTTCTTCCTACGCCAAAAATCCCGACTCCCACGACGGACATACCATCAAGCGGGACCCACATCCGAAGTGGTGGCTACATCCAATAACATGGTAGGTAGACACCGGGTAATCGTTAGTGGGTGTAGGGAGAGCATTTCTGCTGCTGCTTTAATGCGCTTTTGTGACTGCCGTCGTTCGCGTTCATAAAAGAGTGTACAGTGACGAGTAAATTTAACGAGCCAATTGCGAAGCTTGAGAAATACAGTCGTGTGGGATCCACGTCGGCTCTGTGGGTCTATCCAATCGCATGCTAGGTAGCCTATTGGTAAGTCGTCGTGGGTAGCGATAGCACTCATGTTGCTGCCGTGATGCGCTTTTAAGACTGCCGTCATTCGCGAGTATTAAAAGGAGGGTAAAGCGAGGAGTAAGTTAACGAGCCAATTGGGAGGCTCGAGGGCCCGACGCGAAGTCTCTGCGATACGCCCCGAGTCTTCACCCGATCGCCGCTAGGTCAAAACTGTTCTCAGCAAAACACTATTAATACCCCATCTGGGAGTTCCGAGGAAGCCCTCGAATTCCTCCTCTGCCCTCCCCTCCTCTTCCCCCTCCCCCCACTCGTTCTCGTACAAGAAACCGAGGGCGGCGTCGATGGCGACAAGATTTGACGACGTGATCATCAAACCCCCCGCCGACCGGAGATCGTACAGGATCGTTCACCTCCCCAATGGCCTTTGCGCCGTGCTCGTCCACGACCCCGAGATCTACCCCGACGGCGTCGACCCGATCCGGGAGGGCGTCCCGAGCCCGATGGAGGAGGACGGTGCGATGGAAGATGACGAAGATGAGGACGAGGACGGCGATGAAGATGACGATGAGTACGAGTCGGAGGGAGACGACGAGGAATTAGAAGATGGGGAGGAGGAAGAGGAAAATGGAGAAGACGATGGGGATGGCAGCCAGCTGGCGAAGAAGAACAAGAAGGGGGCTTCACCCACCAAAAAGGTGATCGATTCGAAGAGATCTTGAATGATATCATATTGATTTCTTGATGATCTGAGACGAACAACATGCCTAATTCATTAGGATTCTTGAAGATTTTCCCGTCTTAAAACCTGCGAAAAAGAAGAGAGATTATCCGAGCACTTTGATTTGATTTTGTTTTCAAATTTCTTGATGCTCTATTATGCCTGCTAAAATGCTGATCATTCGTGGTGAATTCCAGTGACTCTGTAGCTATCATGATATTTGAGATCAACTTGATGTTTCTTTCTTCAAGTTTCGTGGGTTTCATCCTCTTAGCATCCCAAAGAATAGATTTCTTTATCTTTTTTCAGGTCTCTTGATGATCTAGAAACCTGCTAAAATAATGATCATTTGTGATATCTTGATACTTGAGATCAACTTGAAGTTTGTTTATTTATGTTTCTTGACTTTTCTCCTTTCAGCACCCAAAAAGAATAGATTTCTTTAAGCAATATATTTTTTCTTTTTTTTCAGGTTTTTTGATGCTCTATGACATCTGTTCAGACGATGTTCTTTTTTTAGCTAATTCAATTGACTTCGTTTAGCTATCTCAATATTTGAGATCAATTGAAGCTTGTTTCTTTAGGTTTCTTGATTTTCCTATGTTAGCACTGTGTAGAAAAGGACTTCTTTAAGAACTCTGATTTGTTCTTTTCAGTTTTCTTGATATTCTATTAAACTTCTTCTAACCATGATTTTTCATGGTGAATTACAGTGAGACGTTGGGCTGAACGAAAAGGAGACGCCTCTTCTTTTAATATTTCAAATGTTCCCACTATATTTTTTCTTATACAAAAATTCTTCTGGATCACTTTTTAAGTATTCTTGAGTAATCATTAGATTCCTTTCGCATAGAAATGCACTAGATTTTTTTTTTTCAGGTTTCTATCATGATACTTCCCTAGAAATGCAAGCATCATGGACTCATCAAGGTCTCCTTTTTTAGCGAAAAGGAGTTGTTTTTTTCAGTCATTTTGAGGAGCACCTTAGTGATAATGTTCTAGGACATTATGGCTTTGCATTGCATAATAGATTCAGCTGTTAGCAGTATGATTTTTTTTCCACTATTTCACTATTTTCTGGTGATGCAGGGCTGCACTAATTCTGAAACCAAATGGTATTTAAACTTTTAAAGTGCATATATTCATATGATTTTTTTCATCCGTAATTGAAGTAATTTTTTGTAGACTGAAATATTACTCACATTTCAAGTGTTTCGAGCCAAATATTTTATGGATTTTATTGTGTTTTTCACATTATCTGTACTATTTGCTTGAGTATGCTCTCACTTTGCCAAAATTTGCTGGGCTGAGGATTTTTGTTATATTGATTGCCTGTTGTACTAAAAACAACTCTTCTAATTCTCTGTTTTCAGGCTGCTGCAGCAATGTGTGTTGGAATGGGTAGCTTCTCCGACCCTTCTAAGGCCCAGGGACTTGCACATTTCTTAGGTATGGTTACGCTTTCTGCACTAGGTTAGAGAAGATGTTTTCCCGGTTGTTTTACTCGTTCTTTCAAATTGTTCACATGTTTGCTTGTTTTGATATTTGAACACCAAATGATTTCCTGCTAAAGTATCTTTATTCACTCCATTTTTGTAACATATGTGTATCGTTGGTAATGTCATGTCGTGCACTTCATGGCACTTGGTTACCTATGTTGTTGCTGCACAGTTTAGATTGTTTTCCCCCAACATAAGATGCATATGAACATCACCTGATGCTTACATGTTGGAAAGAAACTAGCATCCTTCTTTTTTGCATGATTTTTCTCTATTACCTAAATATATACAAATAAGATGCACACACAAACGTGGGGTACGGTTGTGTGCTTTGCATGAGTGGAAGTTGATGTACACAATGTTATTTTATGCGCTGGAATTTTTGTGGTTAATGGCCAAAAAATGCATGACACCAAAGTATAGAATGGATTATATTCCATTTGATTAGCTCTATATAAGTATAAAAAAAATACCTTGGTCGTTCACTAATAGTAATAGCTTAGAAGTCAAGTCTAAGGATGGCACTATCTTTTTGCCCTTGAGACCACTCAGCTCTACCCGAAGGACTGAACTTGTGATCACAGCAAAGGAGTCGTTGAGTAGCAAGCAAGATGACTCATGGGTTGATGTGGGCTTATGTAATTTTGTATAAAATGCAATGAATAGGTCTAAGCCATCCAAAATTAGCCAAGCCATGAGGTGGTGCAGCTTATGAATAGTGCCCTCAAAGGACAGACAATACATGTCCAAGTGAGCCTTAAAGAAGAAGCCAAACCATAATACGTTGTCTTATTGCCATAATGTATCTAAATAGAAGGAAACAAAGTCCAACCTTGTGCAGAAAAATGTGCCGGGTATTTGATGTTCAAATTAGGCCGTCTCGTTCTCCTTTTGTAAAAGCCAAGCATGAGAGGTTTCATCATGAACAGGAAGCCAAGCGTGAGTAGTTGACTTATGAAGGACACAAGAAGTAAGCTTTTGAATGATAAGTTCGGTCATGAAGCCAAGCTGTCATAGATCAGCTTCTGAATAAGTAACCAAACCATGAAGTGAAGCAACATGAGGGCCTCGGTATTCTAATTTTGATGTACTATATTATAACCTTGTTCATATTTTCAGCATAGCAATTGGAATTTAACTAGTTGAAATATCTTCTATTGGCTAAAACCTCTGTAGATTCAAAAAAATATGTTTCAATGGAAAAATGCATCTTAGTAATACAAATATTGTCTTGTCAAAGATCCACTTATATATATATATATATATAAATAATTAAAATGTGCCTTTTATTACTGTTGTTAAGCTCTGTTTGATCTAATTCTAAGGACCTTAGTCACTATAATAACAATAATTTTTATCTGATATTTTTTCTGAATTACAATTTTAAAATCAGTATATCCTCTCAGTTTAAACTAAGTTGAGTCTTGGTTTGTAGAGCACATGCTTTTTATGGGGAGTTCAGAATTTCCGGACGAGAATGAGGTCTGTATATTCTTATATCTTCTATACGACTGTTGATTATGCTTTTTATGCGTGGCACATGGTTTCAATTAAATGCTCTATCTGTGGTCAGTCTACTCTATTTGCATCATTACATGGCACATGATATCAATTGAATGCCTTCTATGTGGAGTCAGTCTATTGCACATACATCCCTATTCTCTGCTCTTTATGTTTGCCAATAACTTAAAGTAGCCTAAAGCCTCATTTTGAACACTAATTTATACTATGAATTTTTAAGCAGGGTTTTGAATACTGACCTGACCAGTATTCACAACCAATACTTGCCATTTTGAACAAGAACCGTGGTTTGATACAATATTGCTTGGTATCTGTCAATATTCGTTCTTTTGTTATATTTTTCTGTGCGATATTAGACACATTGCAACTTGATATTCCATCTAATATACCCGTATCATACTATTTCCTATGTGGTATCAAAACCAGTCTTTGATTGAGATTTTAAACCTTGATTTGAATTACCTTAAAAACCTTTATGTTTTGTTGTTCACTATTCCTCTACTGCACTCTTGACTAATAGTAATATAAGCAGCAATTTCTTAAGCATTTAATCATTGAATTCCTATTTGGTTAAGCTTATTCATAAATGTTATATGGATGTTTGAAAGTTTGATTAAAAGAGTCTTAACCATGTGACCCAATTTGCTTTATTCCAAGTTGGAAATAGGAGGTCCATCTGCTTACATTTACAAATGCAACCCATTAATGTGGGAGCATTGGGTTGTCACAATCCCACCCATTGTAAGACTCGACCACCGTAACAACACCTAGCATAGGAGACAGCTCAAATTCTCTTACTTGCAAACTAACCTATTCTATTTGGATCACTGACCTAAGATTGCCTCAGTGAAGAAGGGTAACCAAGCACATAAGAATTTTACCATTGTCTGTTCTCTGGAGGGTTAATATATGTTGTCTTACCCTAGCAAGCAAATAGGGTGCACGCCTAACTTGAATTGTAGGGAAGATTGTGAAGTAGCAGCCTTACCATGACACCAAGTCTCACATGAACCATATTAATATTAGATGGAAATGATTACACCCAAACTATATGATTGATGTGTACTTGTGCAGTACCACAAGATTTCTTTTTATGTACAGTTCCCAAGCTTGTGTTCGTCTATGTGATATGCTGTTTTGCATAAGAAGATTATGACAAAATAGTGAAGAAATAAAAGAACTTTTGAATTAGAGAGTCATTTGTTTTTATTTTACAATTCTATTTTGATATCAACTGCAAATGATACTCAACTGTTAGTGGTGGATTAGTCATTACCGTCTAATTTGCTCTTCTGTTATCTAGTATGATCATTATTTGTCCAAGCATGGAGGTTCAACAAATGCTTTCACTGAGACTGAATACACCTGTTATTACTTTGAAGTTAATCGTGAGTACTTGAAGGGTGCCTTAAAAAGGTAATTTCCTTTTGTTTTATGCATTACGGATGCATTACTTTTATATTAGGTTCAGAAAGATTTTATGATGATCACTTAGCTTCCAAGAGCACAGGGGTATTTTCTTTTTAAATCATTTTTATTTTACAGATTTAGCCAGTTCTTTATATCACCATTGGTGAAGGCGGAAGCTATGGAACGTGAAGTCATGGCTGTTGATTCAGGTCCTTAACTGTTTGCTCTAACTTCATCAGCTTTCATTTTGCAATATGCTGGCTTTAAATTATGAACTCTTTGATTTATGCATCCTATTTTCTACAATATATTCTCAAAAAATATTGTGATACAGAATTCAATCAAGTTTTGCAAAGTGACAGTTGTCGTCTACTACAGCTTCACTGCCATACATCGTCTGTGGGTCACCCTTTCAACAGATTTTATTGGGGTATGCTCAATGCAAAATCTTACAATAGTCCCTTGTACCAATTTTCTTGCTCTTGTTCATAGTCATTTTTTGATATGATTGCAGGAAATAAGAAGAGCTTGGTAGATGCTATGGAGAATGGTATCAATCTGAGGGAAGAGATCTTGAAAATGTATGCAGAAAATTATCATGGTGGAATTATGAAATTAGTTGTAATAGGAGGAGGTGAGGTTGCTGCATGAGTATGTGCATGGTATTCAATTGAAACATCCATCCTTTGTCGGTTATTACTTATTAGTCACATTTGCTGATCGACTGGAAACAATCTAGGATAAGCTGGGTCTCTTTGGTTGACGTGTTTATTCATTATTTTTCAGAACCCTTAGATGTTCTACAAGAATGGGTAGTGGAGCTCTTCAGTAATATCAAGGCAGGTCCTCCGCTAACGATGAGCTATAAGTCCAATTTGCCTATCTGGAAAGTCGGTAAGTTATATAGACTAGAGGCGGTCAAGGATGTTCACATTCTGGAGTTGACTTGGACACTGCCATGTCTTCACAAGGAATATCTGAAAAAACCAGAAGATTACTTAGCACATCTATTGGGCCATGGTTAGTACTTCGTGATACCATAAGAGTTTTGTGATCATGATGAAATTTAATTATTTGATACTTCACTTGACATATGTGATCTCATACTGTAGTGTTCGATTGCTTGGTAGTGGTTTAACATCTAACTAGACAGCTCAAATGACAAAATTGTGTCGTTTCTCGTTCCATTTGCTTAAATACTGTAAGTTACACTTGATGCATGTTTATCATGTGAGTGGTTTGGATGGTTGATGTAGAACTATTTGTTGAATGCATATCATCAAAGTGGCGTATAACTACCCATGCAACAACATTCTGTAATGTCCAAACTACTTCAAGTCAGCTATATGGTTTTTTTTTCCTGCCGTTGAGCCCAGGGCAATATCCCTAGTTGAATTAAGTGCAGTCAATAGTTTCTTATCAAGTTTTATTATTCTGCTTCTGGACTCTCCATACACCACTAATCTTAATCAATTCACCTCTTCTAATCAAAGCATCTACAGTTTTCTTCTCCAATAAGCATGTGTATATTTTCTTAAATGGTGTGCTTTTGTTTTATCATCTAAAGAGGCTATGACTAATTGTTCATGATTGAGAAGTTTATTAAGGTACATTTTATTGTTGTTGTTCTTTAGGATTTTACTAGTATTAGTTTTTATTGAATCCTTTATATGTACATTTGGATATGCTTCTCACCTCTATGCTTACAAAATGGGAAAATTGTTCCAGAGGGCAGAGGAAGCTTGCTTTATTTCTTAAAATCTAAAGGATTGGCATCTTCTTTGTCTGCTGGTGTTGGTGATGAAGGAATGCGCAGGTCCTCTATTGCTTACATCTTTGTCATCTCCATCTACCTAACTGATTCAGGTTTAGAGAAGGTATGCATAATTAGATGAAATAAGTTGTATTTGCTACAATTGTACTTTGTCCTTAGTTGAGTATTTAATTCAACAATTGCATGAAGTGGTTACTGAAATATAAAGAAAAAGTTTGTTAGAGGAGGTGGATACGTGGAGTTAGAAAAAGGAATGTTTTCATTTAATTGTACTCTTGTAGACTAAGGAGAATCGCATAAGAGGGTATGAATGAAGACTTATAGATGCTTAAATTAGGAGATGTGAGACAATTAGTATTAGTGATGCAAGGAGGGGTAGAATGAGTCCTAAGAAGATTTACTAAGAACTATAAATAAGGAATTAAATTCTGTTAATTTAGCTGAAGATATTACTTTGTGTAGAACTCAATGACAGCAGAAGATTTATATAGCTGACCCCAAATACTTGGGATATTACACCTTGTTGTTGTTAATTTTCTAAATGGTAAGTTTTCTCTAAGTAGTGATGCTTTATCAGCTATATTCCCATTGTTCATTAACAAGACAAAACTAAGGAACACCTAAAAGAAAAGGATATTTTATAATCCCATACCATGATGGGCTTTACTTGGTTATCTGTTTCAAGTTATCTCTAGTTATCTCTATAAACTGACATCTAAAAATTCTCTGTGGAACATTTTTGTTTGATGGGGTGGTTCCACTTCTTTCATGTACTACCATACATACATACTATTCATTCAACCACTAGATATTAGGACTGCATCGTTAATTGTCTTGACTACCCAAATCCTATGCAACTAGCGACAGTGTAGTTTATGTATTTATCGTGACTTTGTGGGTATATGCATTTGTCCTGTCTTCGTGGGTTTGGAATATCTGAAATTTTTTGAAAAATAGTTCTACTTTTTGACAAGTATTGCCAATATTTATTTACCTGATTATTTGTCTGGTATGTTGTTTTAGATTTTTTTAAATTGGAAGAAATTCCATATATATGTATCTAAATATATATAAACTTACTACCGTTTAGTGACCTCATGCATCACTTTGACATGCAAATGGACTTGCTAAATGTTATGCTGAAGTCTCTAACTTTTCCCTGGAGGTTTAGTTTTCCTTTTCTACACTTAATTTCTCAATTATGGATACGATGGACAAGAATGAATTCTTAATTCAGTTTTCTCTTTACTGCTTGTGATCTTTGTTTATCAGATTCTGATACCGTAGCTTATCTTTGCTTCAAGAAGAGGCTTCTCCTATCATTGAATGCAGTACATAATTTGTGCTGATGGCTATTCTGTCCATGAAGCTCCTGTTATATTTCTGTTGAAAACGTATACTGGTTATTACATGTTAAACTTCTGCTCATATATAAACAATTATTCTATGTAATTAAAAAATTATATTAATATTTCATGCATCTTTTGTTTAGTTATCTGCAAACTGTTTTTGCAACATTTTGTTATTTATCAGTCTTCATATCTCTTGATTACTTCCTTCAGAAACAATACACACTGCTTTTCCTTTGAGTTGCTTTTTTATTCAGGTTGCCTACTTGGAAAGTATTAGAATGCCAAAATAGGTTTCCTTGGAAGACTAAAGAGTTCTTTTTATGTTTTCTTCTGAAATGTGAGGAATACAAAAAATATCTATTGTTTTGTGCACCCTTCATGATTTTCTTGAATTGTTTAGTTAAAGTTACTCTAGGCAGCAACTTGGAAAATGATGTGCTTATAAAGAACGGATGTGTTCCTTCTGTTTTCCCCAGAAATTGTACAAAAAAGATACCTGGCTTAGATTTTAACTTTTTTTTAAAAATACTTTGCAGTTTTATGAGGTGATTGGGTTTGTATATCAATATCTCAAGTTATTATGCCAATCTACTCCGCAAGAATGGGTATTTAAGGAACTCCAAGATATAGGAAATATGGAATTCAGATTTGCCGAGGAGCAACCTCAGGATGATTATGCAGTAGATCTTGCTGGTAACTTAAGCGTTTACCTCGAAATATATGGTTATATATTATTTAGATATGAGCTATACATGTTAGTTGCATTACATTAATTTATTATTGCACTTGGTATGACAAGCGCTTGTTGATAAAATTTTCCTGCAGATGTATCTTTGCTTGTCTAAAGTTCCTCTCGATTTGTATTGCATGACTTTCTAATTGGAAATACATTGCTAAACTATTTGTTTATTAAATTATGATTTTTTAAGGATTAGATGCTGCAATTATTCTTTGTGGTACTAGAAATAATTAATGTTTTCTTTTGCAGAAAATATGTTTTTTTACTCTGAAAAGCACATTATTTATGGAGAATATGCATTTGAACACTGGGATCCTGATTTGATACAGCATATTTTGAGCTTTTTCTCGCCAGAGAATATGAGAATTGACATACTGTCGAAATCATTTGATAAACAGTCAGAAGGTATTTTTTTGTATCTATTTGGTGTTTTTTTGGCTGCTTGACATTTCTGATGCTGACTGAGGAATAGTTTCTGAAAATTATAATGCTATAATTGTAAATTAGCCTCGTTGGAGTTATATTTATATATTAATCTATAACTGCATAAAGGAGTATTTGTTAATTTTGTCAAACTATTTACACAAAAATTATAATAACAGTTAATGCCATGTATTCATTCATTCAACGAAGACCCCTGTGCATCATTGTTTAATTGTGCTCATGCTTCATGTTGTAATCCTCTTCCTCTTTGCTTGTCTGGTTGTAGAAATGATTATCTTTTCCATGAGCATATGGAGTTCGGTTTTAGGATTAATGCAATAACTTATGACTACTTTGTACATTTATGTTTCATTAGATGTAGATTTAGAGTAAGTTCATTATCCTATTAGTTTTATGGTGCCTTACTGATTTGGCTATCAAGTACCATGTCCATAAGAATTGCTACAGGGGCTACTATTTCTATGTTGATGAAAAAGTGAGTTCGTATTTTGGTCAATAGAACTTCTGTTCTTCATTCACTACTTTTTGTTTTATTGATGTCATAAATGTTTAGGAGAACATGGGCCCAATAGACTGGCATAGGACATGATCTGAATTGTCCAATGTTATAGTTTCAGAATTGATAAAGGTTGTCTGTGATTTGTGTTTCCAATCTGAATACTGTCTGAGAATCTAATTTTGCATTAGAGAATGAAAACATTTAATGAAATTAGTTTTGTGGAGAAAATATGGAACTAGACATCTCATCTGTGGTATAATTATAAATCCATGGATGAACCTAGTGCTTGGGACTTGGGAGGATTAATTAAACTTTTAGAGGTTAATTAATCTAGCAAGTAACAGGAGTTGTTGGTAAATACTAACTTTAGAGGTTATGTTGGCTAACAGAGATGTTGTGGTGGACTACATTCTTCTTTTTCAATGAGCCCATAAGCCGAACATAACAGCTGCCCAAGTTCTGGGTGGTGACCTACTTTCTTTATGGTCTTTTAGCTCCCTGCTTTGGACCCTCCCTCTGCTTTAAGTGTTGATTTCTCTTTCCCCACATCTGTAGCTAATTCTACTCTTTTGTGAGAGCCTAATTTTCTGTTATACAATGTACAAACCGATGCCTAACCTTTACTTCTGGGTGGCTTCCTTTGACCTTTGCCTTTCTATCAAGGTGCTTTTTGGCTGTTCTGTTGTGTTATTGGTAAGGCACTTGATCCTCCTAGATGCAAGAAATTTATGTGGCTGGTTCTTATGCTTTACATTCACTGCCAGGTATCTTGTTTAGAAAAGATAGTTGTCTGTTTCCTTATGTATGATCTGTGTGGTCCCTCTTGAATATTTTTTTCACAAGATTGCTGCTGTATTTGGGAGGAGAAATCTTGGATGGTTCAAGATTTTGTGTTTTCTGTTATGGTCCCATGCTCTTTGAGAGCACACTTTGTTTCTTCCTCCTGGCTTTTTTGGGATGGTTGAGTTGGACAAATTAAGATCACTTTTGTCAATCTGAAGCAGTAGATGATGACTTGTCATTGTCATTGAAGATTTATGGATAAGCATACTTGAATTAAAGCTGAGGCTACAAATTGACATTGGTCAACATCTTCTAGCTGATCATAGTGTAGATTGTTCAGTCTCTTAGGCAACTCGTTCTCTGTCTCACCTTAGTATCCCTTATGCAAGGTCAACAACCTGATTCATTTTTTGGCCCCCACCTTTTGGCCGATATAAAATCCATTTGGTAGAAGAGCATATGTGGCGATTTGTTTGGTTGCTTCACAATGAAACTACAAAGGAAAGAATAATCTCTGTGACCTTAGTGAAAATGGAAAGACATGGGACTCTTGTGGAGACTGCTTACTTATCACTTCTTTGTTCAATTATTATTCATAATTGTTATATGGGATTGTTCGTCATATGTGCATCGTAAAAAGTTTGAAGATCTTAAAGGAGGAGGAACCAAACCAAGTCTCCGATTAAATCAGAATTTGATATAATTTATATGTAAGTAGGAGAAACTTTTGGATAAATAATTAAAAAAATAAAGTGAGAATTTTACTGTGTATTGATTTGGAATAAAATCAGAAAGTTTATGAATATTTTAATAACTACGTATAACTAGTATATATAAATTACTTATTGACTAGCTCTTCCATGCAAACTTATTTGAGAATTCGAGTTATTTTGCAATTATTTATAATAGTTTTATCCTCACCTTCAAATATTATATAATTATTTATAATAATTATAAGTATTATAATTATTTATAATATTTATAATTATGTACATGACTAAATTGATGTTGTGCAGGTTGTAATAGAGCGGCGGTCTTCTGATGTTTGTTTTGTCATTGATATAACATATACAATTTTTTACATTGAATCTTGAATGTTAAGCTGCAGGCATTGCAAATCACAAATGATATTGCATGTAGCATTGTCTCCCTATGCATTGAGGTCGTAATCTCTACGTTATTTTCTCATGCAATATCAAAGTCTGGGTCAATAATGTATCATACTGCATCGTTGTGGCTACTTTACTGGCCATGTACTTATGATTTGACTTACTAGCTATATAATCATGATAGTTAATGCATGATTATTTTCTTGATTGCAGCCATCCAATATGAGCCATGGTTTGGATCGCGATTCATTGAAGAGGACATCTCACCATCTCTTCTCAAACTTTGGGGAAATCCTCCTGAAATTAGCCCGTCTCTGCATTTGCCATTAAGGAATGACTTCATTCCTTCTGATTTTTCTCTCCGAAGTGCTAATTTGTCGAAGATTCTATCAAATACTAGCAATCCACAGTGCATCATTGATCAGCCATTGATGAAGCTCTGGTACAAGGTTGACTTGACGTTTAATGTTCCTCGTGCAAACACTTACTTCTTGATCACTGTCAAGGATGGATCTCTCAGCGTAAGGAATTGTGTTTTGACAGAACTTTTTGTATTACTGCTCAAAGATGAGCTAAATGAGATCATATATCAGGTACATTTTTAACTTTTAAGGAAGATTTCAAAATATTCTCTGTTTAATATTTTATTTTGTGAATGTATGATACTGTTCTGAGTCTTCTGACATCAATTTATGTCACATATTTAGCAACTTCCTCTCCTCTACTTGCATAAAAAGAATGATTCTATTTTTCATTATTAGACTGGATGCATATTGTAAATCTAGAAATGTACCCAGGATTGGTCACTGGTAATGAAAAAGCTGGTCTCAAAGATGTTCTGTTGGTGTTGATCTGGGTTCCATTAAATATTTTACTTTTTGGTTGAAGTTGATGACCTCATCATTTGGGTACATCTTGATATTATTAATCTCATCTAGCAGTTTCATATTTCATATATGTTAGTTTAAAAAATGATGCTACTGAAATTAATACTAGCAAATGTCTGTCCATGTTGCTGTTGAAATTTTTGGTGGTTGTTCTTAAGGTCTTGGATCACATCTTCACCAAAAGCTCGACTATAAACAGAAAATCCTGTCTAGATCTTAGTAGTGGGAATTTTTGCAACAAAACATGGAAGTCCAATTGTTTTACTTGATACTTACTTTTACATTGGGTGAGATAAGGCTTCTCAGTGCTAGTTGACCAGATGACCGACCACTAAAGCACCTCCATATGCAAAGCAAACACCAGACACGGTACATCATTTGGGTAGTCTGTAAAAAAAAATCAATTCTCGATCTGTTATAGGTTAACTCGTTAGAGGATTTTGATTACTTTTTCTTCTTTAGCTAATTCTCTGAATTGCTTCTTATTAAGTGCTTTTGTGATTTGTGATCGCTAATCCTCTGAATTGCCTTATGACGCTCCATGAATGACCATGAGCCTGAATCGTGCAGTTAAAGTTGATTGCCATTTAGATGATTTCAACATATTGGGTGCACCAATGATGCTATGAGGATGTTAAGTAAATTTTACAATATCCCAACTGTGGGGTTCATCTTGGTGTTATGATATTTCCAAGCAGAATTTGATTCTGCAATGTGTCAACCTTTCTGATTTACACTTGGAAGAGGTCATGATCCTTTTCAGAATAATGGAAAGGATGATGCCCACCAAAGAAGGAACCGAATCCATACTGATTACAGACAAGTACATATTCAAGATGTAAGTGGGGAACCAACTAGGCCAAGGTTCCATTGAGGCTAACTTCATATGATATACTAAAATAAGTATACCTTTTAACATTAGAATGTATCTATAACATCACTTATTTCACACTGTTTTTCTTTTCATGTTAGTCAGCACTACTCAACTTCTTACATGAGGTTCTGCAGTCTTTTCTTTTTTTAGACTGTTTGTCAGTAATCGTCCTTTTTCTGGCTATGCAGGCTGGAGTTGCTAAGCTGGAAACATCTTTGTCTTTTGTTGGTGACAAGCTTGAGTTGAAGCTTTATGGTTTCAATGACAAGCTACCAATCTTGCTATCAAAGATATTGAAATTATCTAAAACATTTATGCCTAATATCGACCGATTTAAGGTACATTTAATAATCCTTTATCTTCTTCTACAGTTCATTAATAGTCCAGTGGAGTTCTATATGTTACTTTGCTTGTACAGTTCATTTTGTTGTGGATAGTTTTGTGTATTCTGTTTGTTCTGTATAGTTGTATTTGGTGGTGCTAAAAATTAGGATATAGCAATGGAGTTAGATGTACAATCCATGCAACATCCTGTGTATAGAATCGTTGCATCTATCTGAAGATCCATTAAAGTTTTTAAGTGTCATTGGCTACTTATTTAGCTTTTATCTCACTTGCAGGGATCTGTATGATATCTAGAATCAATGCTTATATGCCACAAATCTCTGTGCATGCTTTCCATGTATTCCTTGTTCCATAATCTGATTGTACCTTTTTTCTTCCATTTAAATATATTTCTGATCCAGAACATGCTAAATTTAAGTTGTTTGTTTATATTTTAAGTCTCTGAAATTATGTTATTCTTCACCATTTCTTTTGAAAAAAATCATTTTCCTGTAGCTGAACTTTCAATCCTGAAACTCTTCCCAACTTCTGCTTTTACCCTTGGATCCTTACTCTTAGATAGTTGACCATACCTTTTTCCATTTCCAAGCTTGATACATATAATGGGTTTATCTTCATAAGCCATGATAAACCGATACTATGCTTCAGCGATATTTTAATTTGACTTGGCATAACATTAACATAGTAGCATGACACATTAACATGGTAAGTCGACTTTCATGAATGCTTGCCTGTCGCCAACCATGTTTCATTAGTGGGCAAGTATGGAATCAAATCTTGGTCATATCATTTGGTACATACTGGTATTTTGCCATCCAACAAGGGACTGGTACTGGATATATATAGGTTGGAACTGGTTAGTATCTTTTTTTTTTTTGTTAATATTGGTTAGACACCAGAAAATATAGTTTGGTACTAGTCAATATTTTTATCATTATTATTTGGTAATATTGGATGGTTCAAGGTATTATGCCTTTATCATACCAGTCCAATCTGTTACTGAAATTGATTTCAAATTGAGATCTAAATCCTTGAGGGCAAGTCCTATGATTGCATTAGCAGCGAAGCTGATCATGCTGAAATTCTGATTGATCAAGGCAACCCTTAGAATTTTCAAAGGAGCATGAAAACGCAGGCTAGTGCCTTTGTCTGACAAGTCCTTGGGTTGAAGGAGCAGGTGTCATGTGGCATGCAATAATCGATCACTCTTCTTACAGGATGAATCTGCTGCTTGAAACTATTCTTTTCCCATGTTGCGACAGAAATTAACAGGTATAGAATTAATTATATACCCTCACCTCTAGGTCAAAATCGTCTTGTTCCACTCTTTGATATGGCTGATGTGCCATATGTGCTTGGTAGCGGACATCCTTGAGCACTAGGTGAACCCTCTATCAGAACAATTTGTAGGAGTGTATCTTTAACATAGACATTATTGTCATGTAACCAGTAGTCAGTGCAACCATTGAAAGTGATTTAAGATCTGGTTGCATTTGGGGTATACAGTTAGGTCTAGTTTGAGTCTACAGTCTACTTAGCATCTAGGTTGAGATTAAAAGAATCTGGACTTTTTTTTGCTATTTCTGATACACTCTTATCATTTGTTTCAGTCTGGACCTTTTTGTTACTTTTGATATTCTCTTATCATTTGTGCCTTGTGGGCGAGTACGAGTGTCTATTGGACTAGTTTTTGCCTTAGTTAGGAGTCTGCCAAATGATGGTTTAGTTGGTTGACTTTGGAGTTGAGTTTGGTGTCTTATATGCTAGATTTGCTGGATGACACATTACTCTTTATGAAGATTGAGATAAACCAAAATTTTGCTATTCGTGTCAAACAGCAAAAGTGAACTAATTGGTATATATGGATGGTTAAGAAAGCAGTCTGTATAAGTCCTTACATAGAGGAGAGATCAATAGGAAAAGCAGAACCCTTTACATATTGGCCATCCACCTAAACAGTTTGGACCAAATTGAATGGATGACACCTTTTTCCACCAGAATAAAGACCCAAAGTGTAGAAGCCAAAGCTAAATCCTCATTGAAACTTAAGAAGGAGAAAACCATGTTATCAAAATTTATATCTTTGTAGTCATTGGCTTCTCTAGTGAACTCTTCTTCTCTGGTGAGCAGTCGAGTGAAGTGAGCTTTGTGTGGCAGTGTAACTATGATATCTAGACCTAAAAGAAGAAAGCGAGCTCATATGTGTGGCTTTTTTGGCTGGTAAAGTGTTCAGTATGTGCTTAAGGTATCAGAAGGCCAAGACACACCTTTTTGGTTCTTGAGAAACCGTCGGTGTTTTAGTCCTTGGCTTCCGATCTTTCAGATAGGAATGTCTAAAACATTAACTCAGAGTTGCAACATCATTATCTGAATATATAAGAAATTGTTGTATTTTGCAACTTTACCATAATATTCACTTCCAGGGTTGCTGACATAACTGTTCATAGACCTCTTGCATAGTCAAAGCATTTTTTTGTCCATGATGCTTATGATTCAGTACAGTTACCTTAATGGATGTCTATTTCCTATTCATTTTGAGATTTCAAGTTCTATTATATACTTGTTTAGTTAGAGTTCTCTTGGATAGTGCTTCAAAAAATGTGATATTGTAACATATCTATGAAAACAATGAGTGTATGATGATGAAAACAACAAGTGGGCCAGGAGATCAACTGAAAACACATTACGTTGTTGCCTGGCCTTTTCACATTATTGTTAACCATGCAAGGCTTTTCACATTATGTTGGGTCTTTGTGGACACATGATTCAGTCAACACCATATTCTCAATTAGTAACTTGAGAAATTGAAACACTTGTAAGGAAGTGAGAAAAGTTGGTTGATACTTGATACAACTGAGAAAGGGGATCAACATAACATTAAATACAGTAACAAGTTAAAAGAATCTGCAGAAGCTGCAAATACCAGATAAATATTTGGTACAAATAAGGAAACATTGTAATGGGAAACATTTTATTATGGATGAAATTGCAGTCTTATTCAAATGAAACTCCATATAATATATTATTTGCTGATGGAAATTATATTAAATGAAGAGAGTCAAATAATAAAATTTTAAAGTTATGGTGATAAGCTTCTAAATGGAAAGTGGGATGGTTGAAGTTCGGTGGAACGTTCAAAGTGTTGTTTTAACTGCTGCGAAGCCCTTAGATGAAAGGGGAAATCTTCCTTTTACAGAATAATCGCAGAGCTTGATGTTGGAAAGGATTGTTATAGCTGATTCCAATGAGTTGGTAACTCAATATAGCTGACCTTTACTAGTTGGGAACCATTGCATGATGCTGTTTTATGCTTGCAACCTTATGAAGTGCTATTTACACTTTGAGTTATTTTTGCATATGACTATTGTCTAATGGATTATATTTTTCTTTTTTATCCTCACTACTCATATTTCCTCTTTTTATTTTGCTTCTTCTTGATAGTTTCTTTCTTCTCAAAATTTTGTAAGCCTAAGGAGTGGTGCTTTATGGTTGCAAGAGCCTAACTTACTGCCAAATATATCTTTGTACCAAACAACTAACTTTTTAGGTTTTCAGAAATTATGTGTATTGCCTTGGTAGCACATCATTAAATTCTTGATAGATTTCCCCTCTCTTGTCATAAGTTGTGCTCTGTAGCTTGCCATGTACTAGGCAAGAAGTCTTGGATGATAACACATAGTGCTTCCACTTTACAAGCTTCCTGCTGCAAATTGAAAACAGTTATGCGGTATTATGACCACATGCAGAAAACTGTTTCTGTGATAGGACTTGTGAGACACAGGTCACACTGGATCAACTTTATCACTGCTGCAAGGTCCATCCTCTGGGTGTTCCTTTTTAAGCTTCCTATGTTTGTCTCAGATGGCTTATTTACAGTCTTCAATCCTTTTGTGATCTGTTTCACTCTGGATCTTTTTCTTTTTGAACTATATTCCAGTAATGTTCTATTTAGCAAGATTTTGTAAACTATGCCCCTTTTAATAGCAGATAATTTAAATATTAACCAGTTCAAAGTTCTATTGAAGTAACCTTTGATGTTATGTGCATGCTTTCCTGGTTTGCCATCATTATATTTCTTTTGTTGACGGCACAATGAGCTGAACGTTTATTATGCCACCACGAGTGTTTCATTTACTTTTAAATTAGCAGTATAGTATCAATGCTAGGTGAAAATTTTCTTATTAAAATGTGTGTGATATTTTGGCTTTACATGATCATCTTCTCTCTTAACTAAAGTTCTTTTTCTACAAAATCATTTAGGTTATAAAGGAGGATATGGAGAGAGCATACAGAAATACCAATATGAAACCTCTGAGTCATTCATCTTACTTGAGGTTACAAGTACTGCGTGAAAGTTTCTGGGATGTGGATGACAAGCTATCCTGTCTCCTAAATTTATCGCTTTCTGACTTGGTGGAGTTCATTCCAAGTCTCCTATCTCAGGTAACCTAATAACTCTGTTTTCATAGCCTAAGGTTGTTTTTTTTTATTTCAAGTCCACAGCCTGGTTTCTTATTGGTAATACCAAAATAACCATTTAAGAATATTTGTGTATTCTGTTGTCCTTTCCTAATTGTTCATTGATAAAAGTTTATAAGTTATTTTGTCTCTGTTAACTTGCAGTTGTATATTGAAGGCCTCTGCCATGGGAATCTGTCAGAAGAGGAGGCAATCAACATATCAAACATCTTTACAAATACATTCCCTGTAGAACCTATACCTGCAGGGTTAAGGCATAAAGAACGTGTTATTTGTCTTTCATCTGGTTGTAGCCTCAACAGAAGTGTCTCTGTAAAGAATGAGCTCGAAGTGAACTCTGTGGTCGAGGTATACATTTCAATTGTTTGATTGTATGCTATCTGTTGTCTACAAGTAGGTAGGACTTTTAGATTTTGCGCCGCTACCAGTTCCAGTAATCTATGGGACCAGTACGGCGTCAACTAAAATATATTAAAAAATTAAATACCAAGCGGTACTGGACGATATGATCCAAGACCAGTATTTGGAACTGTGGACATTAACTACTTGTGACAATGTCAAATAATAAATGGTTTGTTGGGATTGTTGGGCCCTCTAGCTATCCCACATAAAGATTTCTGGGTATATCAGCTCTTACATGTCATTGTTTGAGACAGCTGCATCTCCATCAGTCTGACCAAATGCACTTTGACTAAGGCTTGTTGCTATCTGCATGAATACAGATTAGCGCTTGCCTTGTAAGTTTGTTAATATAGTTTTAGTCCTACTGGATTTTGTTAATTTATGCAGGCTGTTTATACCTATATTAATTGGATTGGCAGCTTTATTTCCAAATTGAGCAAGATGTAGGGATGGAAGCTACTCGATTGAGAGCCACAACAGATCTCTTCAGCAATATTATTGAAGAACCATGTTTTGATCAGCTTAGGTAATATCATGATACTAGTTTCTGCTTCAGAATCACACATTTGACTATAATTTGATACCCTAAGGTTTGTGTTTATTTACTTCCATGTCTCTCAGTTTGAAATTGGTAAAGTATGCTTCATTTGGACTTATTGAGCCTTGTTATTATTTGGGTGAATTGATAGAAACTTATGTTTTTCATGCTGATCATAGGACAAAGGAGCAGCTTGGGTATGTTGTTGAGAGTGGTCCACGGATGACATACCGTGTTTTGGGATATTGCTTTCGTATCCAATCATCAAAATATAGTCCACTGTATCTGCATGACAGAATAAACAACTTCATCAATGGTCTTCAAGATTTACTGGTACTCTACTGATTTTGTCTTGCAGACAATGTTAGACACATGTTATAGACAATATTTAATGTTATACATTACATATTGTCTATAACATGTGTATAACAGTGTCTGTTGTTGCTTTTATTTTTCAAATAACACACAACTTTGTGCTATTTGAAATTCTTCTTGAATAAAATGTTTACTGTGTGGATTATGATTTTAGGACTAAATGAGAATATGCTTTGCTTATTATTTTATTGTTTCCACCTTTCTGGTGTTTTCATTTCTGCTGTTATTATATTACTATTCCTTTTTCGCTAGATACATGAGAGGTAGAGAGTGAATTAAATGCAGAAAGAAGGTAGATGAGAGGAGTATCACTTTTTCATTAATCGAACTTCATCAACTCAGAACTAGTTTTTCTGGACCTTTTACCCTTTTTAGCCTTGACATTCATATTAGTCAATTTTTATTTTGTGTAGTAGATATGACAAAAATATAGTGTTCAACATCTCTTTCACTTTGCTTCTTTTATTGAGTTAACCCAAAACATTTTGTTGTAGTTTCTATTGCATCAGATGTTCTGCAGGTTATGCAATTTTACATTCAAGTCGAGCTAAAGATCCAGTGCTATAATATTTGATCATCCATTTTTGCAACTACTTTATATGTTATAACCAATTATCCATTCTTCACCACAGGATTGTCTTGATGATGAATCATTTCAAAGTCATAGAAGTGGCCTAATAGCAGAAAAGCTGGAAAAGGACCCATCACTTACATATGAGACCGGACATTATTGGAGTCAAATCGTGGAAAAAAGGTCTCTTTCATTTCAACTTTCTTTGGCACCTATTTTGCTATTCCGCAAATATGTTTAGGATTGTCAAGTTGTTGCTGTGCATATCTGCTGTTGGTCTTTTGGTTGTCTTGATACATCTGGAACCATGGCATATTCATGCATTTGCCCTGACTTTCTGTCACTTCTGTGTAATTCCTTTATTTAATAAGTCTAGGGATTTGTTTCTGAAATTAGTTGTCTGATTGAAGAGTGAAAACATACACTGTTGTTACAGGCCTGTAACTTTGCTTCAAATGAGCAAAGGTTCAGGTGGTTCAACTCAAAAGCCATAAAGAGTAGCTGTTGCAAATTGATTTTTCAAGTATATAGCTTTTTCAAAATAATATAGGCAAGCTGGATTACCACTGCATTTTAGACTCAATGGCCAGTAGTTTTAATGCTTTGTCAAGAGAGGAGTCTTGTTACTTTCTTGACATAGTTTACCACTACATTTTAGACTCATTGGCCAGTAGTAATAATGCTTTGTCAAGAGAGGAGTCTCATTACTTTTTTGACATTGAATAGTTTGGATAAATAATTATGGTAGTACATAGTTACTGTTTTACATAGATGTGTCGGAGTATCATGAGTTGTGTCGACTGAGACATATATTGGGCTCCTTGGCAATTGTGAATTCATGTTGGGAGTCGGTAACTGGTCTTTTGTTCGTGACGAATAGGCGTTTGTGCCTTGTGCTTTTATATATTATCTCACCCGATCATACACTCGATGCAACATGACACTGGTCATGATTAGGCCAGCTTTCATGGTCATGCTTGAAAAACACAGTTACTTTACATTTAAGGCTGCATTAGATTCAATCAAAATCAGATTATGCATTATAATTTGCATTATTATATATGGCATCATGTTTTCAATTTGTTTAGTGTCAAATTTGATAATTTCTACCCTTCTGCTTCCCAGTAAGTGTCAATTCTGAGAATTCATACGTATAGAGTAACTATTATTTATGCTTTTTGGTTATTTCCATTTACAAAATGCAGTTTTGGCATCGCTTTAGAGATGCATGCTACCAACCATTTGCATAAATTGAGATGATTTGCTAGTAAGAGTGATGCAATGTGTGACCAAAAATATATAGTTACTCTTTTGGTCAAATCTATTAATATTTATGGCTCTGGTGTTCACTGTGTATTTGAGTGATTTGTAACAAAAGTATTAACAATTCTTGGAGGTCTTTTTTGGTGGCTAATGCTAAGAGGATGTGACTTTTAGGTACTTATTTGACATGTTGAAAGTGGAAGCAGAAGAATTAAAGACAATAGAAAAGAGTGATGTTATTGATTGGTACAAGAAATATTTGAGACCACCGTCTCCAAAATGTCGACAACTTGCCATTCACATATGGGGCTGCAATACAGACATTAAAGAGGAAACAAAAATGCTAAATAAGTTTGGGAACGCCATTGAAGACATTAATTTTTTGAAATCATCATCCGAGTTCTATTCAAGTCTCTGTTGAATGAGCAGCTTGAAATGGCATTTGGTGAACGCATTCAGATTCTGAAGATCTGCTACTCTGTCATCTGCAGTGCTTTCCCATTCCAAGGAAACAATGGTTAATGTTGTCGTCATCAATGCATTTTGGCAGTGCACAAGTTCTATGGAATGATCCCGGAGGTGTTGATTCAAATCACTAATTTAACGATATCAGTTTGGTCTTGGGGGAGTGATGGCAGATAGTTTTTGAACTGATAGTGTGTTAAGTATCCAAGAATGGTAAACTAACTCAGTGGCAGCATTAAACATTCAAAGAAACACATCCGCTTTTGTTGACTGACCAAGATAAAATTCTTATTTGGAAGGATCAATAATGTGGGATATTTTATTGTTTTTGCGAACGCCATCATTTGGTTATTATGTGTATTCATATAACCAAGGACAATGGCTTTTGTGATGTATAATATAGTGAGAGGGCTTTTGTTTTTTGGTTAGAGGTCATTCAGGTAATCTGTTGAGTTTAAGGGTTTCGTTCTGCTTGCTGTAATTTTGGCAAGCGTTAAAGATTGTTGATAGTCTATGGAATTTATTTGTTGTACATGCATTGATGTGTCTGATGTCTATCTTCTCAGTTATGAACTCGATTCTTATGGATGGGCTCGTCGAGAGTGTCTGCAGCATATCATGTGGTTTAATTGTTATTTTGGATCTATGAATTATTGACTGCAACGTCAAACGACCAATGATGGCTGGGCATCATGAGTCGAATCATGAGCCCAATGGTATGGTTGGAGAAAGTGAGTAGAAGATAAGACTCGCTCATCGTAGTCAAAAGGTGAGGAAGGCAGGCGTGATCCACGTCGCGGCGTCGACCACACGAGCAATTTACTGCCTCCAACTAACCACGTCGGCTGCCAACCGAACCGATTGATGGTTCATGTGAACCCCTAGCCTTCGCCGCCCTGGCGTGTCAATCCACCGTGCATTCATGCATGCATGAGCTCGGAGTTGAGAGAGAGAGAGAGGGCGCTCAACCAGGCCGGGTAGCTCATGATTTGGGTTGACTGGTGCACTTGGTTCGAAGGCAATGTGTTCACTATAAATAGCTCCGTTCATCTCCCCGGATCAACGGCCCCCTAACCTCTTCTCTTCTCTCAATCATCTTATATACCACCGGATGGCAAACCCAAAGTTCTCTCTCTACAGTGCTCTCGTCCTCTGCTTCTTCTCCCTTAGCGTCTTCGCGTCCACGGCCTTCGCAGACTCTGCATGGGAGAACGCCCACGCCACTTTCTACGGCGGCGGCGACGCCTCCGGCACCATGGGTGAGTTTGGCCCCCCATAAACGACGCAAATGACCGATACTGACATATGAACGTACGTGTTTGCAGGCGGGGCTTGCGGGTACGGCAACCTCTACAGCCAGGGCTACGGGACGAGCACGGCGGCGCTCAGCACCGCGCTCTTTAACGACGGCCTCATTTGCGGCGCCTGCTACGAGCTGCGGTGCGCCGACGACCCCCGCTGGTGCCTCCCCGGTTCCATCATCGTGACCGCCACCAACTTCTGCCCTCCCAACTACGCCCTCGCCAACGACAACGGCGGCTGGTGCAACCCTCCCCTGCCGCACTTCGACCTCGCCCAGCCCGCCTTCCTGCGGATCGCGCGGTACCGTGCCGGCATTGTCCCCGTCTCCTTCCGCAGGTGAGCAGTGACACAAGGCGCCCGAGTCCACTGTGGTGATGCTGATCCGTGCATAACGTAATCCTCCTGCAGGGTGGCTTGCGAGAAGAAGGGAGGGATGCGGTTCACCATCGACGGCCACTCCTACTTCAACCTGGTGCTGATCACCAACGTGGGCGGCGCCGGGGACGTGCACGCTGTGTCGATCAAGGTGTCGAACACCGGGTGGCAGGCCATGTCGCGCAACTGGGGCCAGAACTGGCAGAGTAACGGCTACCTCGACGGGCATAGCCTCTCCTTTCAGGTCACCACCAGCGACGGCAGGACCGTCAGCAGCATCGACGTGGCGCCCGCCGGGTGGCAGTTCGGGCAGACCTTCGAGGGAGGGCAGTTCTGATGGGAAGTCTCAACGCTCGGCGACGTCAGGGAAGTCGAAGAAGGCATCATGAAACCGATGTCTTTGGCCTCATGCAATGCCGTGGTAGCGTAATTAGCACCCGCTAAGGCCTAAACACATAAAACTCTGCATGTAGTAGAACAAGGTTTTATCTTTAATATTAAGATGAATGAAGAACCAGTTGATAAGGGTAAAAATGGTGATGTAATGCGCTATAACGTCAGCCGTACCTGGGCGACACATTGCCCGAGGAAATGGGCATTAACGCCGACTTGATATGCGCCAGCGTCACCCGCTCCCAATCAACGACTCAACCATCTAACCCTGCGCGCTCGGCCAAGGCAGAGGAGGACGTCGGCCGAAGCTCGCCCATACCTTGCGGCAGTTCGGTTCTCCACGCAACCCCAGTGGCAATGTTAGATGCCATCAGAGGTGCGGTCCTGCTCCTGCTGGCAGCCACATCAGGTAACATCAAACTCATCCATAAATACCCCAGAGTTCTAAACAAACGGGGGGGGGGGACAACCACAACACAGACGGAGAGGCATTCCCTCATCCAAAACCCCCTCTACCTCACTAACTTGATCGTCGGAGGGGTCGGGTCGAGCCTCCCGACCCGACCTTTGTGCAGGTGCGAAGCCGAGGGTCCCCGCCGGCCGCGCGGACGATGAGCCCCTGCCCGGAGGAGACGGCGACCCCGTCCCGATCGGACCATCGCACCGGACCGACCCCGCGGGCTCGATGCACGCCCCGGGGAGATCCCCGACGTTCGGACCCGAATCGAGCCGTGTCGGCCCCGAGGCCACGGCTCAAAGTTGTTTCCCACAACACCAGTAGTTCTTTAGAAGCTAAGAAACATCTAGCAATACTAAGGAGAATAAGGGTCGTCGGGAGCGCTGTTGTGCCCATGCTTGCGCCCGGGCAGCTGGTATCCTTCGACGTCAAGTTGATGCTACACACTGCTGTAGTCATTGTAGTCGCGGCAGGCAACGAAGTTGTTGTGATCGCCTTAGCTATCGCAGGCAGGAACAACCGTCGCAAGCCTGCTAATCCCCGTGGTGCTTCATTGTGTATGCAGCCACCGCTAGTGATTAGGCTAGCGATCACCGAAGGTCGCTACCCTCAATAATACTATCGTTACCGTAAATTGTCAATAGCATTCTATTGATCAAGCATGATAAAACTCTTCTCGTCCATAAACAGACGATATAATGGATTAGATAGAAAAATGAATCGACAATACAAATTGATCATTTAAGTATCGTAAATGTAAACCAAATAATATTTTTTTCATAAATGAATGATGCTAATAAATATATTTAAATATAAAATATATATAAAATATTTTTACGATTTAAAGTATTTGATTTCAAAACTTTACTCTAACACCAATTATAAGTATAAAAATCATCAGTATGATTTTATTTTATGAAATACTCTAATACCAGAAATTGAGATCAATTAATGACATCAAATATATAGTGTATATTTTTAGATGCTGCTTAGAAAGTCATCTGATATGTAGATATACTCATCACATTTGAAAGTCAAAATGATATCAATCTGTAATAATGAAAAATTCTCTTTTCTTCTTATCCTTTTCCCGTCCTATTATCAACAGTAATATATTAGAAACAAAAAAAAAACAAAAAAAGGTATAATATTTAAATAATTTATAATAATTTCCAAGAATTTATGTCCGGTGAATATAGAATATGTTGCCATCACTCAAATACCTCAAAACACATATTCAAATATTAATTATGCTCATTCATTTGAAAGAATTATTTTACGTAATAATGATTATAACTCCTCGATTTTCTTGTGTAAAAATTATCAGATGAGAAATTATTCTTTCGAACTCCTCATTCAATCATTGTTTATGATTGAATCATTTGTTTCGATGGGTGAATAGATTCGATCTGCACTTTCCTCTTTTCATCTCTGACGTACCCCTCTTCCGCGAGCTTGCAGCCCCCTTGCAGACGTTGCTTATTAGCTAGCTGTCAAATCAATCATATCGGTGGAGGGCTTTAATCGACCTGCTTCTTCCTCTCAAAATCACCATCCTGTTGGACGGACCTCAGCGCAGCTCCCACCGTTTGCCGGTGTTGTGTCAGCGGAAGAGTGCAAGTCTGTGGTTGCTTCTGCCATCGGACTTGCTTGTATCTTCTGCATGTCTTGTTCTTCCGGAAAGTGCCACTTAATAAGAGAATATTATTAATATATTACTGTGCTTTTGAGTTCCAACTCGTGTGGACAACCTCTTGCCCTTCATCGATTGCTACGGAAGTCACAGTCGTAAGTTGCGTGGAGACTTCGACGGTGCAGACTTCTTCCATGGAAGACTCCGTCGCGCCGTGTGTGTGTTCAGCTTCGAGTGCTGTACGTACCCACACAGATAGATCGAAAGCGTCGAACAGTTCCTGTAAGGGAATCAAATGATTCGTGCTTTCGGTGTGTCATACGATACTCGTAGACTGTGTTCTGTTTTTCCAGCTTTTCGAAGAAGAATATGAATTGTGATCGATTTATTTGTTTCTGATGACGTCAATTTTCTTTAGCATTAATTCCGAAAAAAGAAAAAAAAACAATAGTCACATACTTATAAAACAGTGGGTTTCTAAAGCTAAGTTAACCGCTCACCGGTCACCGCGCCCCTCAACGCGGGCCCCAACTTCTCGTTCCACAGGCTTTCGCCAGCGCCACCGCTCCTCTCGACCGCCACCACCGCGACGCCGCCGGTCAACCGGTATACCTCTACCCTCAGAAGGAATTCCCCATTTTGCCCCTCCACGACCGCGCTAAACCCCTTCTCGCCCTCCCTCCTCACCGCCAACCCCTCCCCTCTCCCGACCCGCTCGAGCCGGTCCACGATTGTGTCGACCGGCTCGGTCAACGCGAACCGCTCCCGGTCCGAGGTCGCCTCCTCGAAGAGGCCCGAGAGGTCGAGCCCCGGGGAGAAGGAGATGAGGTCGAAGGCGTTGAGCTCCCTGCGATGGTGGGGCTTGCCCGATGGATCGGTGGCATCTCCGCGGGGCTGCATCAGCGCCGTCCATTGGTCCGCGTCGAAGTCCCTGGCGAACCAGGGGTCGCGCAGGATGGCGTCGATGGAGATGCGGGTGGCGGGGTTGGGGTCGAGGAGGCGGGCGATGAGGCGCCGGAGATTGGGCGAAGTCCAGCGGGGGCAGCGGTGCTGGCCGCGGTAGATCTTTCGGTAGAGGGACATGAGGTTGGGGTCGTTGAAGGGGAGGTAGCCGGCGTTGAGCACGAAGAGGATCACCCCGCACGACCACATGTCCGCCTTCGCCCCGTCGTACCCTCCCGTCATCTTCCTCGTGAGGACCTCCGGCGCCACGTACGCTGGCGTCCCGCATTGGGTGTGCAGCAGGAGGTCACCGTCATCGCCTTCGGAGGAGGAGGAGGAGGAGCGGAGGGCGGCGAGCCCGAAGTCCGAGACCTTGAGGTCGCCGGCCTCGTCCAGGAGGAGGTTCTCCGGCTTGAGGTCCCGGTGGAAGACGCCGCGGGAGTGGGAGTAGGCGACGGCGGAGACGAGCTGGCGGAACAGACGGCGGCAGAGGTCCTCCGGGAGGTGACCGCGGTCCTCGACGCGGGAGAACAGCTCGCCGCCCTTGGCGAGCTCGAGGACGAGGTACACCTTGGAGCGGGAGGCCAGCACCTCGTGGAGGCGGATGATGTGGGGATGTCGGAGCCGGCGGAGGGCGGAGATCTCGCGGATAAAGGAGTCGCCGTCGGCAGAGCAACCAGCAGGACGACGGGGGTTGGGGAAGACCTTGACGGCGACGCCTTGGCCGGAGGGGCAGTGGCGGGCGTGGTACACCTTGGCGGAGGCGCCGCGGCCGAGCAGGCGGCCCATCTCGTACTTGCCGAAGATGACCTTCGCCGGCGACGGCGGCGCACCGCCCCCGGACTCGGTCATGCTCCTCGGCTGCCTCGCCTTCTCGTCTTCCTTTCCTCGAACAGAGAAGCTGAGGAAGGGAAGGGGGAAGCGAGGTGCTCTCGGGCGTCCATTCGATGATATATACACAAAATATTTGCCTGGCCAAGTGGCTTATGACGTCACCGTGACAGGACTCTTATATTAGAACTTTGGAGCTGCCGTGAGGGAATAGTTGACTTTGAGAGGCCACCAAAGAATTCAATGACCGTAGACGGCAATTCGCAGTGCAAATTGTCTTCTGATATGAGGTAATAACCATTGAATTCCTATGTAGCAGGTTGGAATGGACGGCTCAAAAACCCAAATAGAATTTGATACAACTCAGAGTTATTATTGGAGTTTCCTTCGCTTGGCTTCTTGAGATTATTGCGCTTAGATTTACTACCATAATAATAATAATTACTTTATATGAGGTCAGGTTGTTTGCTCCAACCATCATACTTACCCTTCTGAGCTACCCTAAGATACGGATTGGATCCTCCTCATCATATTATATACAATCTATTATTGATCATATTTGAAAGAATTAATTATAGTAAATTATTTTTATTATCTCGATTTTTTATATTTTTTTTAAAATTATCGATTCTATTTATTGAAATAAACATATTTCACTTTCATTATTATAGAGATATTAATATATATATATTTTTTTAAAAAAATATAAATATTAAAAATATTAAAAATAATTTAATTATAGAGAAATAATTTATAATTAATATTGTTTAAAGTCGAAGATCGAACATTCCAGTGGTTGGTTATCCTTCCATTACCTTCTTTGTAGCCATGTCTCCCGTGTTCGCGATGGAAGACAGAAGACGATATATTCTCCGTCACAAATTGGTATGAGAGAACGAACTTGGTTTTGCTTCGAGCTCCTTCGTCGCTGTCAGTCCAACATCTAACATGTAACATGTGTCACACGACCATGGGAAAGAAGGTGTGCTGCTCCATGCCACCAGGTAGACACGAAGGTCGTCATCCGAAGTCGACACCTCTTGCGGAGAGGCTATCGAAGCAGCCATCGACCGGTCATGGACACGCTTCATGCATGATCTGCGTAGGGTTTGGCCTGTCGGCAGCGGTACCGATGGCGGGTGGACCATTCCCTGTGGGCTATCGGCAGTGAGTGATACCGACTGTGGGTGGAGCCTTCTGCGTAGGTTCGTCATGGGCGGCTGTCTCAGTTTTCGGGAAGGTACGATTAGAAGTAATTTATCAGGTTGAGGTCGTCAGAGGAAGAAGGAATCATTTTGTACTGTTATGTCGTATTCGTACCAAATATATAAATGTAGAACAGTCGTTGGGAACTACAGATTCTGATCACCCAATCACTTCCTCGAAGGGGCCGGAGAAGAGAGAGGATGGCATGAAAACGATGTGCTCCTCCAAAGCCAGTTTCCTCCTTCCTTGAAGCTGCACCTATGGTACGTGGCCACGGACGTCGCGGTGGTTGATACGCATTCGTCTCTATCAGTAAAGATGCCAGCCCATGAACCCCGCCACCTTACCCCCCACCCTCTCTCTCTCTCTGGTAGGTGGATACATGCGCAGTGAAGAAGATGCCCGGCCGATTGCTCCTTCCCTTGGCTGTTCCTCACGTGCGTTGTCGCTGTCCGCACGGGTCGTGCCGGCACCCACAGTCGACCGACCAACGGAATTTGTAGGACGAATCTACGGTGGCAAAAGCTACGACGAGTCTGGTCCACATCGCGACCAATCCTCCACGGTCGCATCGAGTGCTCGGACTTGGTGGAATATTCCACACAGATACGAGACGGCAAAAGGTTGAAGGAGAAGAGTTCGGTTAGCATCCGTTCGTCCTCCATGCGATCGCATGCCGGCTATTTGCCGGTCGTCTTCGTCGGCTCCGGTAAGGGCGTCTGAACTCCCTATTAACTGCTGCGTCGGTGGCCGCACATGCACACCGTGCAATCATGTCGTCAGCGGCTCCGCTCCATGCCGGGAGGGTGCCAACTTGGAGCAACATGGGATCGCCTCTGGTTTCTGGGGGAGCACCTGGTTTTGACGCCGTGGATGGCCCGCCACATGGTTGAAGCTATTGGGCCGGGCCGACCTATCAGGCCCGTTTAATGAACGTACCATTGGGCCTCATCTCCCACATTTCACCTGATCTTGATATTTTATTATATGCATTCAATATATGTATAATATACATGACCTAAAACATTAATTGCTTGTTGCATTTGGCTAACGAAGAGTAGATTGCAGAACATAAACGTGTCATCAAGTGATTCGGTCATTATTAGCATTAATATATCATTTTGAACCTACTAAATCATCATAATATTACTTCATACACCTAACCAGGTTTTGTAGCAATTCCTCTCGTCCAAAGGGAGCAGTCTCCACGTTTTGTCATTTCCGGTCGTTGGGTTATGTCTTCATAGTCGTCAACAGATCTGTGTCTCTCAGAACCTATCCTTCATTTGGATGCATAGATTCGATACGCCTTTGGATTTCGAGCCTTCTCTAAGTTTCCAGGGAGTGACTAATCCCAGAAGAAACCTCGATTTTTGTGTACATGGCAGGTTCATAAACAACGTGACGTTGGTGGCACGCAGACTACATATGCACGCGAGCACCATTTGCTTGTCGGAGGTGCTCGATTTGAAGCGTCGGTCACTCCATGGCCACTGTTCAAATGTTCTTCACCATCTTCTTCGTCGTCATGCTCCCGGCTCAGGGGCAGCTCGCCCCGGATTTCTACGATGCAGTGTGCCCGCATGCACTGCCCACCATCCGAGCAGTGGTGGAGGCGGCCGTCGCGCTCCAGCCACGCTTGGGTGCGTACCTCGTCCGATTGCACTTCCATGACTGCTTCGTAAACGTAAGGCCGCATCTTCCTTCTGATATTGTATTAAGAAGAAGAAGAAGTTAATACCTGATGGGGATGACGATGGTGACAGGGTTGCGATGGCTCGGTGTTGCTGGATGATTCCGCCACCTTCGTCGGAGAGAAGACGGCGGGACCGAATAACAATTCCCTGAGAGGGTTCGAAGTAATAGACGACATCAAAGCTGTCGTGAACGCGGCATGCTTCGGAAACGTAGTCTCTTGTGCTGATATCTTGGCCGTCGCCGCGAGGGACTCGATCGTAGCGGTGAGTTGTAGTAGTCCTTTCATGGCATAGCATGGTATGTACTCGTTGTTCATGACATGTTACGTTACAGTTAGGTGGAAGCTCGTACGAGGTGCTACTTGGCCGAAGAGACGCGACGACGGCGAGCAAGGACGACGCAAACGCCGACATCCCCACGCCGTTCTCCGGCTTGCCAGACCTCTTGGCGAAGTTCCAGTCCCACGGCCTGGCCGTCGAGGACCTCGTCGCCCTCTCCGGAGCTCACACCCTCGGGTTCGCTCGGTGCGCCCTGTTCCGGGATCGGCTCTACAACGAGACCTCCACCATCGACAGCGACTTCGCGACCGCCCTCCAGGCGCGATGCCCGCGGACCGGCGGAGACGACGAGCTGTCGCCGCTGGACGAAACGTCCCCGGCGGTCTTCGACGCCGGTTACTACCGAGGTCTGCTGCAGAACAAGGGGCTGCTGCACTCGGACCAGCAGCTGTTTGGGGGCGACGGGAGCGGCGACACAGACGCCCTGGTGCAGCACTACAGCGAGAACCCCGGCGAGTTCATGGCTGACTTCGGCGTGGCGATGATCAAGATGGGGAGCATAAGCCCTTTGACGGGGAGCGATGGGGAGATTCGCGAGAACTGTCGGGTGGCGAATGCATGATCGACCGAGTCCCTGAGAAGTCTTACGCCCACGGCGTTCGTGTGTCTGCTTGTTCGTGCCGATGGCACGAGTGTGGTGTTTGCTTTTTATGTTGGCACGCAATGTTGAATCGTGCCAATGATATGTTCGTCAACAAAAAGAGCAAAAAGTGTCGTTGTTGAACTCCGCCTCATCATATTATTATGAAATATTTTGGGTGATTTACTGAAAAATATTTCTCTTTTTTCTTTATCTTTGAAAAGTTGTTTTATATATTTTTGTTATTTTTTAAATAGTGTCTCTTATTCAAATCACATCAAAAATAATATTTTAACATATTAAACTACAATAAAAATATCTTAAATTATAATTTAAAATATCATAAATGAGACAAATGAATTCATAACCCCAATCAAATCAACTTCGAGTCTAAAAATTTGGCATCCTAATAATTTATGAGCAAGGACGATAAAAAATGCACAATGTGATGTCATTTATTATATTTTTAATAGTTCTTCGGTGTTTTAAAAACACTAATAGGGCTTTTAATACATCAATAAAAATAATATAATGGTATTGAAAAACAGTGTAAATGAGTCAAATAAAAAAAGTCCAAAACTGATGACAAAAGGTATCATTAGGGTTGTGAGGAATATTTTGGATGTTGTTCGAAAAATGAGATGCTATTTGAGAAAACCAAAAAATAAATGCACTTTTGAGAAAAAAAAGGAAAAAAAAGTTGGAAATCACGAAATATTTTCCTCGTATTGTAATTAAAATTATTTAAAATAATAAAAATAATTTTACAAACTTTAAATATTTCATAGTGATGTTTCAAAATAATAATAATAGGATCTAATTTTGTAATTAGGATCTCGAAACATTATACGGCCCAACGCTTGATGAGGCCCAAAATGAAGCAACCGCAAAGCCCATTAGAAGTTGCCGGCCCAGCGAGGAAGTCACCCATCAAGCGCTCGACTCCGAGTCCCAAAGAGCCAACTGCCTCCATCTGTACTTCGAAGTAGGCGTGCGAACCCCCATTCCCTGTCTCTCGATTTATGTTCCCATGCTCCGATCTTGGCTCATCACCTCTTCCGTCGCTTCGCGCTCCTCCCGCTTCTCCGTGCTCCGCCGGCGTATCCCCTTCTTCTCCTCTTCCGGCGACAATAAGACGACGAAGATGTCCGGCCAGGGAACGCCTGGGGGTTTCTCCGGAAACCGAGCTTCTCCTCATCCCCGCAAACCCGTGAGTTCCCTTCTTGAACCGATCCCTGTGTCGATAATACGGGTCGATGAGATGATACAGGTTTGATTAGGTTTTCTTCGTCCCTTTCACGAACTTTTGGTCGATTCCTTTTGCTGTCGAGATGATATATGTTTGATTGGGTTTTGTTGGTTCTTGAATAGACACTCGTTTCCTTTTTTGTGTCGACCGATCCCTTTGATGATCGCCGCCGTCTTCGTCCTCGAAGTCGACGTTTCGAAGAACCCAATGTCTAATTGTAACTCGTCGATGTTGATTCACCCTACTATAAATCATTGGTCAGATACGCATGCCTTCATCAACACAATGCAGCACATAGGATTTCGGGGATTCAATATGTAGTGGACTTGGTTTTGTGAGCGCCTGATCGTATTGTAATAATAATGCTACACATTTTACTTCTTTGATTGATGCAAAGAATCATTAGTACTATCATAGGACTCGTACTCAATCCTACATGATGATTGTGCTTGAAGGAATGGAAGCAACCCTATGTGCTCTTGAGATGAAAAGTGTAAGTGTTGTTATTAGGGCAGCCGGATGTACGCTTGTATTGCTTTTCCTATTTTGGTTGCTCATGTCGTAACAGAGCAACACTGCAAGGCACTGCAACGACTGATGTGAATGGTATATATCACAAAAGATGCATGCTATTTGATAGACTCTATAGAACTAAACATATTTTGGTTCATCATTTCATGTGTGCTTAAATATCCTTTGGTTCACAAATTGTTTTTGCTGATTTGCAAGCTGCAGGATTGTTTTACATTTGTGTTGTTTTAAGTTGCTTAAATTCTTTGCTTATGAAATTTGGCTGAGTGCCTTATCCTTTTTGACATACAAATAATCATGAAGCAAATTTGAGTTGGAGGTAATGCTTACTGTTGTTTTGGATTGGATTTGTAGGTTTCTGCTGGCAAATCAATGTATCAGGGTGATGGAGTATACAAGTCCCCTAATGTCTTCCGCAATGCTAAATACCCAAATACTGTCATGTCTCAACATAGTCAAGCTTCTCCAGAGAGTGCTGACGAATCCACATACGAGTCTCCTAACGTCTTCCGCTACGCTAAATCCCCACATACTGTCATAGCTCAACGCAGTCGAGCATCTCCAGAGAGCATTGGCAGCAACATTAGGAGAAGTCCACAAAGTGATGCTGAGATGCAGCATTTTGATATCTGCAAGGCCAAAGATGTGGGTCATGTGATACTAAAGAGATCTCTTCAGGCAATAAATCGGGAAAAAAGAAAAGAAGCTGAACGAGCCAAAATTGTTCCTCAGCATATACATCTGAGGCCGGGGATGTTTCTGTTGAAAAATTACCTTGATCACGATGATCAGGCTTGTGTTTTCTTTACTCGAATATATATTTTGACATTGATCTACGTTCAGTCTGTTGTTCATATTCTACTTTTAATTCAGTGACACTACTCAAAAATAATTTTCTCCATGTAAACTACTTCAGACTTGGTTATTAAGGAATTTTCTCTTTATATTTTGCAGTTAGGAGATAGGAAATAACACACATCAAATTTGTAACTGAAAATGCACTTCTTATTTTGTTTTTTAATTAATCATACAGAAAGATAGCTGGAGCAATTATAATGTGTAGGTGCTCGAGTGCTTTGGTTTCTCAATTAAGCTCATGTTCTCTCTTTTTTTGCTTCAGGTAAAAATTGTTAAAAAATGTCGAGACCTTGGTGTCGGTTTGGGTGGATTTTACAGACCTGGTTATCGAGACGGTGCCAAACTGCATCTGCGAATGATGTGTTTGGGGATGAACTGGGATCCACAGTCAAGATTGTATGATAGCAAGCGATCAATAGATGGTGCAGAACCACCCAAAATTCCAGAGGACTTCATAGAAATGGTTGACAGAGCCATTCAGTCATCTCATGACTTTTTGAATGCACAATCTCATGGTGTTAATGCTGCATCTGAAGTTCCAAAGATATCACCAGATCTCTGCATTGTGAATTTCTACGATAACAATGGTCGTCTTGGTCTGCATCAGGTATTATCCTACATTTCTATTTGCAAAACACTGATTTTTTTTCTAATGCTGTATTTCCGTGCCATCTTGTGGATTACTTCCAAACCACAATATGGCACCTAAGTTTTTATTGTTTGTATAAAATGGTTTTTAACTTTTGAGTGTAGCTTTCTGAGGTTCATCGGAATTTAGCTGGGACTTCCCTTAAACTGGTTAATACTTGGATTATTTGTTTTCATCTAAACATTTGCCAGAGCATTATGGACTATCTGTTTTTATCCAAGAATGTGATGGAGGCACCAGATTGAAACTATGTTTCTAATCATAGACACTATGAAAGAACTGCAGGCACATGTTTCCACCATATAGACAAAATCGTAATGCTTTTGCATGAATGTTTTAGTAATCGATTCAGAAGATGCTGATGTTCTTTTAACGTGCAGGACAGAGATGAGCGCGAAGAGAGTCTCCGAAGAGGATTACCGGTGGTCTCTTTTTCACTGGGAGACACGGCTAAATTTTTATATGGAGATCAACGAGATATTAACAAAGCTCAGGAAGTTGAACTTGAGTCTGGTGATGTACTAATATTCGGTGGAAAATCTAGGCATATATTTCATGGGGTTTCGTCGATCATCCCAATGACAGCGCCGAAATGGCTCATTGAAGAAACTGGCATGCTGCCTGGCCGCCTTAATCTTACTTTCCGGCAATACTAGCATAGTTAGTTTTCATGTATTTTGGTTGTCCATGTGGACACTCTTTTCCTGAGTCCTGTAGTTGATCTGTAATATAAGCTATTGCCCAGATGACAACCAGTTTGCTGCTTCATGCTACTCCAAGCATATGTGATCTTTGGCTTTCTATAAAGAATTGACGTAACAAAACATGTGATAAAGCCTCTGAGCAATGCCATTTCTGTATAAGGTTTTTGTACGAAGACAAACGACTCATCGATCAGTCGTTTCCTAATTAAAATGTGTTATTCTGATTGATCTCATGACAGAATGTTGAACCCAATGCGATCAAATATGCATTTTAATTCAGGCATAATGCAGTTCAATCATTTTATCTGTTACAAATTAAACACTGAGCTGCAGCTTGGATCTCTCTTAAAACTAACATACATGTAGAACTACATACATTCTAGAATTCTCATAATGCTAATAGCTGCTAATCCTAAACTAAACTGCTAAAATGAATCATGTCTACATCTGATAAATGATCTAACAGGGGTACATTCACAAGGTGCTTGCTTGGAAAAAGTACACTTTTACTGAGATTAGAGTCGCTGCATGCCTGAAGCTCTAGCGAGGAACAAAATAGAGCTTACCAACGACATGCAGAAGAGCAACCACAGCACTCAATCCGATACTCATGAAGAGAACAGTATTGGGAGACATCTTGGCCCCTGTGGCATCATCGGTGTAGAACTGGAGCATGGTACTGGCACCTCCACCCGCTGCTGCCGCACCACCACCTGCTGCCCTCCGCCTGCGCATGTTAGCAGCTGCTGCTGCACTTCCTCTGGGTGGCGCACCGCCAGCAACCATATCGACTGACTGTTCACTGAACCCAAACAAAACAAAAGGAATTTTGTATCATGTCTTTTGCATGTGCATACGATTGTTGGTGCATTCATTAAATTGGATTACTCATGACCAGACTCAGTGATGCTTTAATTATCTGTTCAGAACTTGAGTGGCAATAACATGAGGACTCTATGCGAAAAGACCTTGACTCAAGGATGATCAGTTTGAACATTTATAGCAATACTAAATCAGTTAAAATGATGCTGCACGAGCACTAAAGCAGAAAATTGTAGGGGGACAAGAAGACGGTTTCGCAGAGACCAAAAAGCGCCGAAAACCTTTGTTATAACTCTTGTTGGTAAGAAAAAACATATATTCTATTACTTCATACATGCAAATCTTGGCTAGCTACTTTCAAAACCGTCGAGCACTTCAAATTAAAGACGACAACAAACAAGACCAAGCAACTGGATTTTGAAGAGGCACGGGAATGACAGCACAAATTTGCTGCAGATTGTAATGTTTAGAAATAAGCTGAATCACAAGTGTATATAGTGGGAAACTCCTCTAAGAATACAATGAGAGATACACTCCAAAAACGGAGGCCATGATACACTACGTTCTAAATGGAAATCGAGCATGATCACATAAAGTGTATGTTGCTACTCGGTATTGTCTCAGAGGACAACCAAGTAGGTTAAACATCTAAAAATCCGCACATCAGTCACTCAATGGACCACAAATTTCTTATTATTATCAAGTGTATTCGTAATTGGATTTCTTAGTTCATACTTCTTAATGCCATTTTCAGCAAAAAAACATCTCAGAAATGAAATTTTACCTATCGAGAAGATGTCTGCCATCTGAAAGCAGGTTGTATAGGAGACGTAAGATCATATATTCTATTACTTCATACATGCAAATCTTGGCTAGCTACTTTCAAAACCGTCAAGCACTTCAAATTAAAGATGACAACAAACAAGACCAAGCAACTGGATTTTGAAGAGGCGCGGGAATGACAGCACAAATTTGCTGCAGATTGTAATGTTTAGAAATAAGCTGAATCACAAGTGTATATAGTGGGAAACTCCGCTAAGAATACAATGAGAGATGCGTTCCAAAAAAGGAGGCCATGAGACACTACGTTCTAAATGGAAATCGAGCATGATCACATAAAGTGTATGTTGCTACTCCGTATTGTCTCAGAGGACAACCAAGTAGGTTAAACATCTAAAAATCCGCACATCAGTCACTCAATGGACCACAAATTTCTTATTATTATCAAGTGTATTGGTAATTGGATTTCTCAGTTCTTAATGCCATTTTCAGCAAAAAAAAATCTCAGAAATGAAATTTTACCTATCGAGAAGATGTCTGCCATCTGCAAGCAGGTTGTATAGGAGACGTAAGATCATATATTCTATTACTTCATACATGCAAATCTTGGCTAGCTACTTTCAAAACCGTCAAGAACTTCAAATTAAAGATGACAACAAACAAGACCAAGCAACTGGATTTTGAAGAGGCACGGGAATGACAGCACAAATTTGCTGCAGATTGTAATGTTTAGAAATAAGCTGAATCACAAGTGTATATAGTGGGAAACTCCTCTAAGAATACAATGATAGATGCGCTCCAAAAACGGAGGCCATGATACACTACGTTCTAAATGGAAATCGAGCATGATCACATAAAGCGTCTGTTGCTACTCCGTATTGTCTCAGATGACAACCAAGTAGGTTAAACATCTAAAAATTCCGCACATCAGTCACTCAATGGACCACAAATTTCTTATTATTATCAAGTGTATTGGTAATTGGATTTCTCAGTTCTTAATGCCATTTTCAGCAAAAAAAACATCTCAGAAATGAAATTTTACCTATCGAGAAGATGTCTGCCATCTGAAAGCAGGTTGTATGGGAGACGTAAGATCATATATTCTATTACTTCATACATGCAAATCTTGGCTAGCTACTTTCAAAACCGTCAAGCACTTCAAATTAAAGATGACAACAAACAAGACCAAGCAACTGGATTTTGAAGAGGCGTGGATATGACAGCACAAATTTGCTGCAGATTGTAATGTTTAGAAATAAGCTGAATCACAAGTGTATATAGTGGGAAACTCCTCTAAGAATACAATGAGAGATGCGCTCCAAAAACGGAGGCCATGATACACTACGTTCTAAATGGAAATCGAGCATGATCACATAAAGTGTATGTTGCTACTCCGTATTGTCTCAGATGACAACCAAGTAGGTTAAACAGCTAAAAATTCCGCACATCAGTCCCTCAATGGACCACAAATTTCTTATTATTATCAAGTGTGTTGGTAATTGGATTTCTCAGTTCTTAATGCCATTTTCAGCAAAAAAAAATCTCAGAAATGAAATTTTACCTATCGAGAAGATGTCTGCCCTCTGCAAGCAAGTTGTATAGGAGATGTAAGATCATTTTGATACTCTCATAGGAAATGCTAAACCAATTCTTCTTTTCCTTAACTGGGTTATTTTAGTAGAACCAACAAAATCGCCAACATAACATCAGTAGATCATGCGATTGTCAACTCCAAATCGTACAACGTCAATTGACTGTACGTTTTCCTCGTATCACATTTTTCCTATAAAAGTAGGCGCCGGATCTCGGCGAACACGAAAACAGCTAGCACATGAAACCTCAACTTAGGGATCTCAGCGACCAATTCGCAGATCCCCTTCTCCTTAAAGTTCACACTAGTATAAATCATAATGACAATATCAGAAAACAATAACCAATCAAACATATGGTGGAATCGAGGATTCTAGGTCGAAATTTCCCATGTGTTTCGAAAAAAGATCCAAATCAAGCGGGGGCGGCGAAGAAGATCGAGAAGGAATGCATGAGGATGAGGTAAAATTCGCACCTTAGTGGGCTCGAGGGAAGCACAAGCTAGGCGTTCCAAGACGGATATCGCCCGAGGAGGTAGCCGATCGGAGGAATTTGATGCGCGCTTGTGTCGACGAGCCCGTCGAGCGCTGGAAACGGGCCGCGCTACTAAGAGCCCAGTTTGTGTGTGGCCCAATCGAATTGATCCAAAATCGACTTGGCGTGATCAGTTTATTGATAATTCGATTTTAAGGGTTCAAAAATGATTTCGGTTCGAGAATATATTTTTTAGTTTTATTAATCAATTTTAAAAAAATTTTGGTATTTAAATTCTATGCTATCGACTCAATTTCAATGTAATAATTTCATCTTGATCTGTTACGGGACGTTATCGACCAAAGTTTGTTCTCTCTCTTATTTAACTTTTCGAAAACTGTCATCGAAGCGCCTGCCGTATTTGCCATCGCCGGCTTCTCCCTGGCGGGCCGTCACCGCGTGCCGTAGTGCCGTCTCCGCCGGCGACGCTCGTCTACTTCTTTGGACGGTACCGACTCGGTATCCCATCAAGGGATCTCCTGGCGATCGGTCGAAGTATCCACGCCGTCCATCCGTTCGTTGCCCCACCGCACACGACAAAGTCAGGTTGTCTGTCACTCTCTTCTTTCGACTATATTACTGACGCACAGCACCTCTCTCTCTCTCTCTCTCTCTCGTTCCGAGAATCTTTGGAGTTGTCGGATTGATCTCCTGGAAGACCTCCGCTTCCCGTTAATGGCTTCCCTATCCCGCCCCTGCCTCCTGTACCGCGGTTTCTTCGAGGACGCCTCTCGCCGCCTCAAGAAGACCCCCGCCGGTTCCAAGATTTCGCTTCTGAACTCAGCGTGCGGTTCTTCCCCCATTCTTGGATGCTCCACGCGCGTGTCGAGGAGCCTTGTGTCGGCGGAGTTAGGTGCTCGCCTGGGAGCCCTTCGATCTGCGGTCGAGGAGGCGAAGATAGTGCGGCAGCAGGAGGAGGAAGAGGAGAAGGGAAGGCCTCTGAGGGTCGGGATCATCTGCGGTGGCCCGTCTGCGGAGCGTGGCATCTCGTTGAACTCTGCACGATCGGTACTTGATCATATACAGGTTGCCTGTTCTTTTTTGCTCGAGGGTTTTGCCATCAGATACAGCTCGATTGTTCTTTCTTTGAGGTTTTCTTCATAATGTAACAGGTTTATTATTGTTTCTGTGCGGGGTTTATTGATCATATACTGCTTCTTATTTTCTTTTTCCTTGAGGGTTTTGCCATCGTATACAGCTCGATGGTTCTTTCTTTGTGGTTTTCTTGATTATGTAACAGGTTTATTGTTGTTTCCTTGAGGGTTTTATTTATCAGATAAGGGTTGAATTGGTTTTTATTTTTGATGATGTACAGGATGGTTGTTATTTCTTTGAGGATTTCTTTGATGATGTAATTTGCTAAAGTATGTGCATGGTATAATTTTCTGTTTACCTTGGATACATTTAGACTGCTACTGTGCCCAAATGATAATAATGATATGTTAAATCGGGTTAAGTTTATTTTTATCATTATATACATTACCTTGTAGGGAATTTTAAGAAGTTTAGGGCTTGAGCTTAGTTTGTGTTGACTAGTAGTTATGGTCTATATGGTCAACAAGTTGGCTTGTTAATGTTTTTCTGTATTATTGAACGTTTTTATTTTATGAGTGCTGATGTTGTAATATTCAGGCCTTGGTTTGGTACAATATGAGGCAGGGATTAAACTTCCTCATAGGTAAACAACTTAGCGCTAAAAATTAAGGTTCACTGTACCGCCTGAGTCAGTACGGCACGGGGCGGTATATACCAATCAGACCCATCACCGAGACATGGCTTGCATGAGTCCTCGTTGGCACACACTTGCATAACATGTATCGGTACACCGGTATAGATTGGTAGTCTGGTACGTACCGTACCAACAAATCTTCGAAATCGGTCCGATACCCAAAATGGCAAACCTTGCAAAAAAGAAATAATCAACTTGAGAACAGTTGCACTCATCAAATCTACTCGTGAGAATTTGATTTTAAGCAGATATACTTTTTGCCAGAATTCTTGCCAATAGATGATTGACATAAATTACATGGAACATTAGCATTATAATTTGATTTAAGCATGTGCATGTTGTGATTTTCTGCTTACCTTGGATACATTTAAATTGGTACTTTGCCAAATTGACAATAATGATCTATTAAATTGGGTTAAGTATTTTTTGACATTATATTTATTAACTATTAAATTGGATTATTATCTGTTAGATAATAATAAACCTCTATTACTATAGGATTACATTAAGGATCTGCCTTTAATACTTATTTTTTTAATTGGTAATAAAGGAACTTATTAGTTATTTGCAGAATATACCTTCATGGTGTATGTTATTCGTTGTTAATATTGTTTTGATTGATGGATGTTTAAATGAAATCAAATTTAATTTTGAGTTATGGGACAAATCTTAAAAAATAAAGATTTTAAATTAAGTACGATTAAGTACTAAGACCGGTTTTTTAATCCTTGGTCTAATGCGTTTGATATTTGTTGTTTGAAATGATATGTGACAGTTAGTCATACTAATATATCTTCATGTTTCTTGAACTTAATTTTTTTTATATTAAAAGATGTATTATGTCAAATATTCGAGTATATGATCAGCTTTGGGTTATCTACTTGAAAAGCTCTGCTGTATATAGAGGTTTTATGTTGCACTGTTTTGCTTGGATACAAAATGTGATGTGTAACTAGGGTCTTTGTGATTCTCATCAGGCTGGACTTTTTCTATAAAACAAAAAAAAACTTCTCTTTTGTGGAGAAAACATTCCTTCTTCTTTTATTAGTTAATTATTTTATCTTACCTTAGTAACTATATTAATCCTGTGAATTGATATTTGTTATAATAGAAACATAATAAAACTGTAGTGAACATCTTAATCAATAGCTTTGTTCTTCTTGTGACTGACGTTTAATTCTTTTCTGGTTATGTTACAGGGAGAAGATTTGCATGTCAGCTGCTATTATATTGATTGCAGTCTCAATGCATATGCAATATCACCTGCCCAGGTTAGTGAACTGGATAATGAATTCATTTGTAGTATGGACTTGATGTACCAAGTACCAACTATAAGTAAAGTCATTGGATGTCAAATTGTAGATACATGCAATTGCAATCCTATAGTATAACTCCTGTTCTATAGTGTCTTAAGTCAGATTTAATTGTTCCTTTGTTGTTCACAGTCAAATGTAATACCTTATGGAAGCTATATATCTATTATTATATTGGTGCTTCGTTGGTCATGTCTTTAGACTTATCTCAATCATACGGGCATCCTTTTTGTGGCTTCCACTGATGTGGTGTCCATTATCCTGTAAACTTCTCAATGCTTCTAGCTTTTACGTCCTCATTGTAGTAGTGTCTGTGGTAATTCTTTCCTCTAATGGATTTGCAGTTATACTCAAACACTCCTGCAGATTTTGATTTCAAACTAGAGAGGTAAACGTTCTGGTTTTTGACTTCATCTTACACTGCTCAATGGCTGGTGTTTCTTTTGTAGATGATTTGCTCCATAACCAAAATTTTGCAGCCTTGCCCAAGGTTTTCGCTCTTTACACACCTTCGTAGAGCATCTTGCTGTCTCTGTGGACATAGTTTTTCCTGTTATCCATGGCCGTTTTGGTGAAGATGGGGGCATTCAGGTCTGTCTTATGAATAAATGGGACACAATTAAACATCCCACATTAAGATTTTCTTACGTTTAATCATATAATTCAGAAAATGCTGATCTGTATCGGTCACTTCCACTTTTAATTGCCATGAATTGCCTAATTATGTAATTTTATAATATCAATAGATTTTTTGGTCTGGGAACTACAAGAACTTGCATATTGCAAAGAATATGTAGGCCATGTTGGAGTCTGTATACTTGCTGAAATGGAGTATTTGCTTCTGTACTGTCTGATTAAAATCAGCTGTCTTGTTTGAATGTCTAGGAGCTGCTGGAGAAAGCAAATGTACCATTTGTTGGCACAGCTTCTCATGAATGCCGCCAGGCATTTCACAAGGTTAGCCATCTAGATGCTTTGCTGGTGATTGCAGCTTTATTATGATTTTCATATTGTTATCAATCAAATTAGACATTCTCATTATTTTTCCTAGTGATATCCATCCAATGCTTGCATTCAGTAGTCATTATTTTTAGTTTACATGTTTGTCCACTGCTCTCCACCATCTCTTGCTTATGTTTGTGGCCTGCCTTTTGTTCTTCTTTTTACATTCTTTGGCATACAAATATTTGATGGAAACTTCTTTTTAACTTGTTATGCTGGTTCAAGTTCACTGAAAATCTTGCTTATTGTATATTTCTTTATTGTTTATTGATTTTGCAAATTGTTTTGCAGTACAATGCATCTTTGGAGCTTATCAAACAGGGTTTCCTCACAGTGCCCGGTTTTCTTGTTCAGGTGTGGCACTAACTTTTATCTTTAAAAATGTTAGGCTACTCTAAATATTGTATGTTTCTTTGAGAAAATGCTTTGGCTTTTGAAAATTTTACATTTGAATCTTGTGGCACTGTTTGATTAGGGGTTATTGCTGTTTGTTTTACTACTTCATTTGCTTCCAAGTACCAATCTATTATCCTACATGGTTGCAATGACCATTTGAAGGCCATAACATGCTACTGAGCAAGGTTAGTCATATTGTAGCATATTACCTGGTACAAGTAGTACGTACCAATCTAATAGGGGACTAGTATGGGTGGTACGTATCAGTCTGCTGGTACACCATATGTCAATATGTTGGTATGGATTGGTACATACTATACCAATGGCCGGTTGGTACACTCGTATGGACTGTTAAGACAAACATGTTACTGAGTAATTGTTTTTTTTCTTTCATTCAGTTCCAAATTTTCACTGCTCTTTATTTTGCAGCTTTGAGAGCGTATATGCAGATCTTAGGACAGTAAAGTTATTATTGTTGTTTCACTTCCATGTGCAGGAACCATATTATGCCATTGCTAGTTTAAAGTTTAAACTAATTTCATTACCATATATTTGATCCTCTATTTGGTAGCTAATTTTGCTAGTAGGCTAATGATAATTAGCTCACGTTATAATTGGGTATATGATAATGGGTTCACAATTTTACAGGTTATTGTGTCGATTTAATTAACTATCTTTATGATAAAAGACAATTCACTTGACTGCAAATAAAGCATGAAAGAGGAAGGTACCTGAGTTCAAGGTGGAAGTTAGGCAGATCAATAAGTGTTGATCAAATATCACAATAACAGTGAGCTAATAGAGGTCATTTTATCAAACTCCATCTTTGGGACATCTGGTTAAAAGAAGCTAGTGCAATTTATCATGTAACAAACAAAATAAAGCACTATGAACTTGTACAAGTTCCATCTCAAGTTGCTAAACAATCCCTCTTTATCAATTTACTCTTTTTATTTAAATTTTCAAGTCAACTATTCATGGTAAATTATTGGATAAGGACACTGATTTTTTTAGTAATAAAAATTTGGAATAGGTTCCTGACAGTTATGCTTTGTGAATTCTCTCAATTATCAGTTATATGTTTCTCTCTTTTTTTTAGTAGGGAAACCAACCAGACAGGTCTGAAATGATAAGGTGGTTTGAAATCAATCTTCTGGATAAGGAAACAGGAAAAGTTGTGGTAAGGGAATGATTCTCTTCTATTCAAATGTACCATACAGATGTTTCAACCTCCATGTACCCTAGGTGAAGCCGACACTGGCTGGATCAAGCATTGGTGTTACAGTTGCTTACGGTGTTGATGATGCCATTGAGAAAGCAATTAACATAATTAGTGAGGTGGTTACCTTTGATGCTACCTATTGTGGAAATTTATTTCATGGGGTTGAAAATCTTTGTGTTAGCCTGAGCTCATTCTGTGGCAAATAGGGCATTGATGATAACGTTCTTGTTGAAGTTTTTCTGGAAGGAGGGAGTGAATTTACAGCAATTGTCATTGATGTTGGAATTGATAATGATGCCAAGCCTGTTGTTTTACTACCAACTGAAGTAAGTCAGTCAATATACTTGTTTTTTCTTTATTTGGAAGAAAGCAACATTTTGTTTCTTTTAAGGCATCTAAACTGTCTATATCGTCTTGAGAGTATGTAGGCTATCCTAGACATACTATCTTTCTAGTACATCTTGTAGAATTCTTTTGCTTAATAGATGAACTTTCAAAGACGATACCACTGCCAAGAAATTAATGATCAAGTTTATAGAATTGATATAAAATATTTTGCTATTAGTTAGTAAATGATCAAGAGTTAAAAATTAATTTTCCAATTTACATTTGGATGCCATGGATCAGATTCCAATTATCTAACAAAAGACCTGCTAACCTAACTGAAGAAGGTGAGTTGTCCACTTATTTCTTGTCCTTACCTTAAAGAAGGTCCTATATGCTATGGGTGTCATTATGAGGCACACCTTCTCTTGGTTTCTGATATGGCATTTTGTGGCATGCCGAGTGTGTATTAGTACACACTTGGCGATGTCATTATCTTGATTTTAGAAGTCTGTTTTAGAATGCATTTGTCAAGCATATCCAATGCAAAAGGGAGTATACTATACTACTATAGAACATTTAAGCATCTGCTAATTATTTTTCTTATTCAATATCAGGTGGAGCTTCAAGTTTTGACCAATAATGATCAGTCTGAGGACACAATTTTTAACTACAGGAGGAAGTATCTTCCAACACAGCAGGCAAGATAATTGGAGCAAGATTTATCTTCTTCTTATATCATTATTATCAGTTGAACTTTTCTCACTTGTAGTTGCTAATGTGTCTGCTTCATGACTTTAGATAAGCTGAATTGGCAATGAACCTAATGTATGCCAAACTGGATTGATAAACTCTGACCCAAAATTGAAACTATTAATTAAATTTTAACATTAATTTGCAATGGCATACTTGGTAAGATGTATACTTCTTTTGCTATTTAATGCATATATAAGATGACCGTTGCTTGGCCATGCATGTGCCAACTGGTCTTTATCTGCTGTGAGTAGGATATGCAAGTACTAATCATTGGATGCTTGTAGTTCACATGAACACCCCTCCCCCCGCCCGCCAGTCGTTCACAGTTAAAAGTTTGTATATGAATAAGGAATTTCAGTTTCACCCACTGTGTACCAATTATGGTTTTAGATCTTGGCCCAGTATTGATATCGATCCTCAGGATAGTATGGTACCAACTGTTGGTATCAATATTGCCCTAGTTCGATCTTTTCTTTTGCTTTTTTCTTTAATTATGTGTATTTATTATTCATATGTGTTTGTTGGGTTGCACATTATGAATCTGTTCCTAGAGTCTCAGTTAAGCAGAATAATTATATGGCATCAATCTTGATGATCTGAAAAAGCCTGATAATATTTTTGGCTGACATTAATATTTACACCAGATGATATTTCAGGCTATACACATGCTTGCTCAAACACCAATTTACTGAATCTCCATAAGCTTATTAAACATTTCCTTTTTGACATAGAAAAAGAATTGGATCATGTTCTCAAATGTCAAACATGAACAGATGTTTTTTATTCATTTCCACTTATCTACATGATAACCTATTTTAAGATGCAGAAGCAATGAAAAGAAGGCCTCAGATAAAATGTGTAATCACCATTGTGAAATGTTTTTTGATCTGCAAAAACTATCAAGTTTTGTTCTTGGACGCAAGGCACACACTTAGTGGGCTAGAATGTATATTCTTTTGTAATTCTATATTTTAGCTGTTTATGTTGATGTCATTGCATAACAAATCACTGGTCTCTTTGTCAGCGATATTGTATTTGTCATAGAGGCTCATTTTCATTCCTTATTTCCATCCCTTTTTTTATTGCTTGTTAATCTCTAATATTTGCAGTACAGAGAACTTTTTAGGTTATGGATTTACTTTTGCAGGTTGCTTATCACACCCCTCCTCGTTTCCCAACTGATGTCATTGAATGTATAAGACAAGGAGCATCATTGTTATTTCAACATTTTGGTCTTCGTGATTTTGCTAGGATCGATGGTTGGTTTTTACCTGGCAATGCTAATATGTTCTCGACAGTTGCAAAAAATACTAAGTTTGGAATTACAGAATCGGGTAACATCATTTTCACAGACATTAACCTGGTATGTGAAAAGTTTTGCTTATTGTGATTTTGTAGGGCTTACATTTCACTTTGCTAAATTGCTTGCTACTGCAATGGTGCTGGTTTACTGAATGCAGATAAGCGGGATGGAGCAAACCAGCTTCTTATTTCAGCAAGCCTCAAAGGTACCTTCCTATTTATGTCAAGTAACCATCAATTTCAGTAACTTTTGCCAATTTAATATGGGGGTATCTAGGTTGAGACTTATATTATTTTTATATTGTTTGGGCTTTAACCATATACTTTTAAAAATAATACATTAGTGTTTGAAATTTTAGAATTTAATAGAATCATTTGAGAAAAGTTGTAGCATGTAGGGTTTGCCTTTTTGGGTACCAAACCTGTTTTGGCAAACTGCTAGAACGGTATATATAGGTTTGTACTGGTGTACTGACACATGGTACGCCAGTGCATACTGGTGGCTCGGCGATGAAGAAAAAGAAAGAGAGGTGGAAGGAATGGTAGAGGAACAGAGGAGGAACGAAAGAAGAGGGAAGAAGAGGAAGAAGTGGAGGAAGAAGAATGAAGAAGAAGAAAGACGAGGAGGAAAAGAGCACTGGTAGTGCACCTGGGAAGCAGCGACAACGAGGTGGTGCCATCTTACACGAAGTGATAGTGGCAGCAGTTGGAAAGTGGCGATGGTGAGGCGGCAACATCTTATGTGATGGGGAAGCAGCAACGGCAGCAGAGACGAAGTGATGATGGCAAGGCGATGGTACCTTGTGTGAGAAGAGGGCTTGTGTTCTTAAGCCCTAATCTTTTTTTTTTTACACTGATTTAGACATGGCCCCACTATTTCTTCGAATATTTTATTAATTTAACTGGACTGCCCAGTATAAGGGGGTTCCATGTACCAGACCCCTATCGGATCACTACATATTACCTGTATCGGGTGGCATACTACATCGCGGCAAACCTTGGTAGCATGATAAAATACCATTTTGTTTGTTTCAAGATAATACATTACTACACTAAAGTGATAATTATAGTTATTTGAATATGTAAGTATATGTAACAGTTAAGATAAAATCCATCATCTAACCCTTCTTTTGATCAAATAAAGATGATGTCCGTGCTGCTAGCTGAATGGATATTCTGGACAGTCTCTCCTTACAATAGCAAGGATCTTTAGCACCATGCAGGATATTGTTTATGCAGTGATAAATAAGTATTCATAAGATGATGGTGTCCCATAAGAACCAAATTGGCAGCATCTACATTGTTTAGAAAGATGGTCAAGGAAAATTCACCCTAGTTGCATGTTGGCATTTGATAGATGGCAAGTAGAAATGAATTGTTTTAAAATTGAAAAATCAACCCAGAAATGATATTTTCTTATGTGTGAAAGACGTGATTGGTATCTGAAGTTTCAAGCAATTGAGTGGTTAATTTTATACAAATCAAAATAGCCTTAATTAAGAACTATGCATGTGTTTCACAAGTTAAAAAAAATGGTGGCAGAAAAAATTATTCTTATTAATTAGAAACTTAGAATTGACACACACCATAATGTGGAGTAACTAAAGAGTGAAAATGGTTAATGATGTTACCAAAAGGGTATTTATGTTTAGTGATTATTGCTACTGCAACAACAGCTTGAACTTTTGCTCCTATTTGCTAGCTGTCTTGTGAAAGCAGAGCTAAGTATGCAGAGATATCTTTTGCTCGATGCCAAGGTATCCAAAGATGGAGAGGGAGAGTTTGTGTGCTAGTCAAGATGAAACCTTGTTGAAAAGGCTCAAACATTGCAAGCAGCTGGGTAACCATGTGGTTATATCTGGATTATAGATGATAGCGGATTGGTACTCGTGGATCACTATCAATATTGCAAATATACTAGGTGTCCACCTGGTATGATAAGTATATCAGGTGTTATGCCTAGTGTGGAATTGAATTGGGCAAAATTAACATGTTCATGTGTTGGTTGGTCATTGGACTAGTAAATGCCAGTCTGCATCCGTTAGTATGGTTGAAATTAAAATCCTTGATATCATGGTTTCAAATCTTGATTTAAGACACACTAATCCCTGAACAGACCAATATGGGTCTGATACGCACTGGTGTACTGACACACAGTATGCCAATGTATCAGTCAGTAGAGTTCAAAGAGAAGAGAAGAGAAGGGAAGAGAGAAGGCAGTAGAGGAGGAGGAGGAGGAGGTGGAGAATACAGGAGGCTGAGGAGCAGGGAGGTCTACTGTTAGTTGTTTTGGTTGTCAACAGCAGGTTCGAGATATAGAAAAAAAAGAAGAAAACAAATTTGAAAGAAGTGGACGAAATTGCCAGGTTCAAGTGCTGGTTTCTGGCCAGACCAATAAATACTGGTAGGATCTATACTGGTATTTACCTGTCCGACTGGTTTTTGAACTATGCTTGATATAAACAACTAGCATTGGTCAAGATAGATACATTCATCTACATCTTGACCCAATAGACATAGTTCCATCTGCTGATCTTGCAACCGAAACTGACTTTTCTCCAATTGTTAATCTTAGTGCAATTGTAGGATGCAATTTTATCCATTTTTTCTCTTGCTTCCATAAAATTCTTAACTGAGATTGCAATAATCCTGAGATGGTTATTTTAAACAAGAATTTACTGGATATAAATGACAGTGTCAGTGAAACAAATCACACTGAGGTTGTCAAAGTTTATAGAGGAGAAAAAGATCTTGATCTTAGACTGAAAAATATTAACCAATCATATCAACATTAGTGATAACAAATAGATATGGTTTTAAACCCTTGCATGAATTTTAATTATGATAAAAGATACCTGCAACTAATCTGTGATAGCATTGTTAGTGCTACTATCTGTTGCTGTCTTACCCAACTAGTCATCTACAGTTGGGCACAGGTATTATGAAAGACATCTTCTTTGATCACAGCTTTTATGTCATTCTTCTGTATGACGCTGACAGTTGTTTCTTTCAATAGGTTGGGCTTTCTCATTCAAATGTTCTTCGAACCATCATCCAGCATGCATGCTTGCGATATCCTTCTCTCAAATCATGCAGTAATGCATGGAACACATTATCCAGAAGATTGCAATCTGCTCAGCATAGCAATGTACCCTCCAAGATCCGGGGTTCTCAGAAGGTTTTTGTGCTCTTTGGTGGGGAAACTTCAGAACGTCAAGTATCTCTCATGAGTGGAACAAATGTTTGGCTCAATTTGCAAGGTTATGGTGATGTAAGTTCTGAACTTATTACTGTTTGGTACCTTTATTGAGTTTTTATAAATCATACTGTAGCTACTTGTTCCAATCATGTTATTTATCACTAGTTCTACTCAAACATGTGACTAATTTTTTTCTTTTTCTTGGCTGAATATGTTGCTTAAGTCAAGTAGATGTGTTAGCCCATTTAATACACTTCTATTAATGATTTCGATTTTTTGAACAAATAGATGCAAGCTTCCTGTCAGAGGTTCATTTTTCGATCCCTGCTATTGACTTACAATCTCTCTCGTGCTGTTATGCAGCTGTCATTTTTTAAGTTTGAATCGATTATATTTATTAATCTGAAGGAATTTCTGATTGTAACATCAATGAGTTAATCATCCTCAAAGTTCTGAGCAACTGTTCGTGTTTCCTCTAAACTATTGACCTTCCTGTGTGTACTTTGACTTTTTAAGATATACAAATTTACCTTCAGATTATTATTCGTAATGACTGCATGCCATGATGAGAATATTTATAGTATACAAATAATTATTTTTTTCTTAAAGAGGTTGTAGGATGCAAACAGACGAGTTACATTTTCCAAAGTTTATGTTGCATGTTCAATGACTGAATATTACTTAAGAGTTGAACATTAATTACAGAGTTAGTTAGTTAGAATTATTAAAGGGAGGCCATGTAAATCAGATAGGATTTTTTTTGGAATGGTATAATTGAGATAGACGAAGTTTCAGTGGCAAGAGGGGATTTTAAGTGCTCCTTTGATTCTATCATATAATAAGCTTAATTTTGTTATTTATCTATATTTCTTATGCTATTGGAGATTGGGGTTTCTTTAAAAATATCGAAGATAATCATAACTGAAACTGGTCTGCATAAATTTGAGTCAGAGGTTTTAAATCTCGGTCTAAGATGATTGTGTCATCACTTGTCCGTAAATTGAATCCGGGAAATTGAGGAAGCCTTCATAGTGCCTAGCTTCAGATACTGATCTGAATAATTTACCTGACTGGCATGGTTCTGGTGTACCAGGTGGTATGCCACCCATACCACTATGTCAATCAAAAAGAGCAACACATGGTAATACCGATTAGTACCAAATCAATTGGTACCAGATCATAAGGTTGGATATTGTTCGTTTGTTGGACCATAAATACCTGTCAGTACTGTATTTGAAACCAAGGTTCGCAATACCTTACCGTACCGGTATTTCGACCTGGGCTCGGTACCGGTATGGTACGGTATACTGAGCGGTACACCCAGGTGTGCCGAGTACTGTAGCAGTACTGCTACAGTGCTACAGTGCACTCGGACTGGTAACAGGCGGTCCGCGTACCGACAACCTGTCGGACCGGTATGTCCCGCCCGTACTGGGTGGTATGGTTCGGTACGGCAGACCCTGTTTGAAACTATGGTTTTAATCATAGAACTATAGAAGACCATGCAATCCAAGATTGCTAGCAAGGCATATTTGTACTCATTGCTGGAATTAGTACCTAATATTGGGTTGTTGTGTCAAAATGGTCCAGTAAGTAAAAAAGATTTTCTTTCTTCCCTTCAAAATTTTTGCTCTTTAGTGTGTCCCACAAGGTCTGCCGTACCGAAGTGTACCGCCCGTACCAGGCGGTACATACCGGTCCGACAGATTATCGGTACGCGGACCGCCCGGTACCGCTACAGTGCAGCACTGTTACAGTATGAAAAAAATAAAAAAAATATTCAGTACACCAAGGTGTACCGCTCGGTATGCCTTGATGTATCGCCCGGTACACCGGTACCGTACCGTACCAAGCCCGGGTCGAAACGCCGGTATGATACGGTACAGCGAACCTTGGTGTCCCATGCAGTCATCCTTGAACCATCCCAAGGTGCCCAAGCCAAACCGTCAGCAGTTCTATTTTTTCCTTTGTTTTTCTTGTTAACTTTTGCATCTGCAAGACTGTTGTATGGCATTGATGTATCATGTGTTTACTGCACATAAGATCGATTGGACATGTAGCATGTTTCTGGTCTCAGCTATTCTGAATGCCTTTTGTATTCTCATTTTGCCTTTGAATTTTCATTTTGCAATCCTCTGTATGACTGGTGTCTTTAGTGCACTGCTATTGCAAACTCTACAAATGTTTCTCTACTACTTCTTATAATATTAATATATACTCATGTGATCTCTTCCTCAAAGCACTAGTGTGTCTTTTCGATGTTCAATAGGAAGATACTTGACTTATCTATATTATTTTCGATCTTAGGCCACTCTGTTATTCTCAATTTTATTAATACCTAGAAACCATTAATTGGTTCATTCATCACATCATGTTTTACATCTATCTTAATGCCCTGATTTCCTTTGGCATAATCTTATCTAAGGAATGCAATTTTGGATTCTGAACTTGTGCATGTCCATGGCCGGACCACTATGATGACTGCTATGACATATCGACACACTGTGATGACTACAGTTAGGCATGCGACACCTAAGTGATAGATGCTTGCAAGGGTCAACATATACCTTAACCTTGTATAGTCCATTAACGTTATGCACCAAGAAGAAAATGTTAGAAAGATGAATGCATGGGTAGTAAGTTGTAGTCGCACACAAGGACAAGAAAACTATACTAAGAAACTATATTTTATTAAGCACTAAGACTCTCGCAAACGAGCTGAATGATCGCACAAAAAGGGGGTTGGAAGGCAGGTGTTGATTCAATGTTCACTTACAACTTTTGTCGAACAAAAACGATTCATTAAAATCATTACATCACCACTCAAACAGATAACCGAGGCTTCATCTAGCTTGGTGACACTAGGGAGTGGCTCTAGGGTGTTGAGATGACCAATGCTTTCACCACAACATTGCCTCTAAAAAATTACCTCGTGGCATGCCAAAACAAGTTGTTTCAATTATTTTCCCCTTCATGTGATGACTTCTTAGCCTAAAATGCTAGCATGTTTTATAAAATAAAAATGTTGTCAAAACCTAGCAAATTGAACATTTATGAGGACAAGTTTGGTATAGACCTTAGTAGAATCCAAATGAGAAGTGACTTTTCTAGCTCCAGTGTGTCGAAATTGAGCAAAGGATCATCACAATGACAATGCAAAGGGGTGGTGTAATTGGTGAATGCATTTTGAGGTCAAGCAGGGGAGTAGTCTAAGACTTCGAGCCACATGAAGGCAGTCAATTCGAAAGTAGAGCATATTTTGAGATTGGTGAAGAGAGTCAACATCAAACTTTGAGGTTGGAGCATATTTTCTGGGACTAAAGTTTCTACTGGCGAGGGCAGTATCCAAGTCAATTCCTAAATTCTCTGTTCTTAATGGGTGATGACTCTCCATGTGTGGTGTCACTTTCAAAGAGAGATCTTTGAGGCACACACATGTACTCTTGAAAGAAGAATTGAGGCAAAAAGACCTGACTTGTTCCACAGCAATGCAGTCGGAGTCAAAAGGCCTTAGTGCTTGACAAAGGATCGTTAGGACGAACACTCTCGAAGAATATGTTGGTATGTTAACAAATCATGAGAATCCTTTCCACGTGGATACAATGTGGAATGGGAGTTCGAACTTGAGTTTTACGTATAGTCAGCCATCCATATTGTGTATCATTCTTGAAGTTAGAGGACCTCCGGGACCTCTTAGATAAGCTGTTGGATGGCATACTATTCTAGAGATTATCTTTGCTCATGGGTATCATGATGCTTTCGTGGGGCAAGATCGAATGAGTGAGTGTTAATGTCAATTAAATGACCTAAGAATGAGAGTTGGCGGGGGCCTTGCAACAAGTTGAAGGTGGTGGTCACCTTGAAAAGTTCCAATTTGATTGATAAAAGATATGGAGGGAATTGCTTCGTGGGACATAGAATGTGTAGAAGCAACTAGTCAGGAGAGGCGAGACATTACAACGATATGGAATCTCAATGGGACTCTGCTATCTAAGAATAACTTGGTCGAGAAAGTGTAGAAGGCCATGAGCTTCAGAGGACGGGGCATGGGATTGCAAATTCACAACAGTCAGAACTTGGTTGAGAAATCATAAAAAAGGTAAAGAAACCTGGGATTACAATCAATCAAAGCAATTAGGCACAAAAGGCTTTTGCAAATGGGCTCAAGGTTGCACACAAAGAGGGTTCCTAAGGTTGGTGCAGACCCAATCAAAGTAATGATTAATGTGAAAACCATGTATAGTCATCCTATCACCAATTGGCAATGGTATGTACCCATTGTGTTAATCGCATGTCATTGTATGCCAGTTGAGGCATGAGACTGTAGAAGTTTTGTTTTCTCTAAAAAAATGATTTTTTTTTTTTACATTTCTAAGTGGGATTAACTAGTCAATCACACAAATCAAAAATATTTGAAGTGTCTGACATGAGGATTTAAGAATGAAATTGTCAGATGTAGGAATTGTACCAACAAAATAAGTGTATAGAATTATAAGCACTTGTTTACAGGGCCACTATAGCTGTCAGTTACTCTCTCATTTGAATAATTCTGTTCCTTAAAAATGAAAAAAAAAGAGATAATTGACTCTAATTATGTTAGATTTATTTGTGATGGTTGACAATGTATTTATAGAACTATGAACAACTGGGAGGGGAAGAAGGTGAGCAATTGAAACTAAGGTGAGCTTACTTGTATATATATATATATATATATATATATAAACTTATAAAGTTTTCTAGATAATGTTCTAACATGATTCAATGCTTGGCCATCCATTCCTTATTTCTTTTACTATGTATTTGACTATCGTGTGGTCCTGGTATATATTGTTGTTCCTATAAGGATGTTTATGCACTTTAATGATGACCTGACTTATAAGTTTCTTTTCTACCTGAAGTCTTTCATTATTGAAGTAGTGTCATGTGTGGTCTTTCTTTTGAATTCAGCTTGATGTGATTCCTTGCCTGCTTGCTCCTGCAAATGGATATGGATCTGCTGAACTTAAGAATGCAGATCAACAAGAGATTTGTAGAACTGTTTGGACTTTACCGTAAGCTTGTTTTATTTTTGACTTATCTATTCAGTTTAATATATTGCACTTGAATGTTTATATAATTAGTTTGTTTTCCAAAGAAAAAGAAACATGTTGCATATTGTTGACAGCATGTGTGGAAACCATTTCCACTGTCTGTATCCATAATACTCAATGGTATTATCTCATTATTCTTTGTTAAAGAGGTTAGTTATGAATCATGTCAAATTTCTTTGAAAATCTCCAGTTTATTTGTTGAACCTATTTTAGGTGGAAGAACTTTCACACTAGATATACTAGCATAATAGATATTTCAGTTTCTATACAGACTCCAATTTACCAATATACCTTTGAATCCTTTTTCTACATGCTCATAAATCCCATGTTCTACAGTTACTCTCTCGTCCTACGACATACCACAGAGGAAGTTCTGGCAGCATGCATTGAGGCGGTCGAACCAGATAGGGCTTTATTAACATCTCATTTACGTGACAATGTTATGAGTGAACTATCAGCAGCTCTTAGCAAACATTATTGGTTTTCTGGTTTTGACATCAATGAAGAACTACCTGCAAATTTTACGCTGGAAAACTGGATCAAGCATGCTAAAGAGTCTCAGTCAATAGTTTTTATTGCAGGTCAATTCCAAACCATATGCATATATAATTAATAATCATATATAGTCTAGTTTTGTGAGTATGTCAAATTGGCTACATGGCAATATATATTTCCTAAGAGGTGGCAGGCCTTCTTTGGAGCTCATGCTGTAGTTACATATAGTCTCCAAGGACAAATAAATTTGTGTAGTCAGATATAAGTATATCTTTGCATTTTTCTTTTCTGATAAGTTAAACAATGAAGTGATAAATTTTTATAGGGTATAATAATAACACAACATCACTAGATCAACTGCTAAGGTATGTTGAAGAAAATAAGCATAAAATGCTAATGGCTTTATTTAGCAAGACATGATAAAATAAACTTCTATTATTAGTAAAAAATAATCATTATGCACAAAAAATAATGTGGAAGTTGTGATGATGGTTTTTTTGTGTTATTTCTTCAACTACTCTCTGTTAGGCTACAGTCTACCACAGTTCTGATGCACAGTTCTTAATTGGGTGATGAATCCTATTGTCACTAATGCAGATTTACAAATGTTAGATAATCACAGGAACTTGATAAAATAATTTCATGTAAGTCCATGCATTTGTACAATTATCAGGTACTTCAATACTTTTTAAGTTTCCCATGTGATGCTAAACATGAACAAGTGTTCTAACATAGTTCAAACTTCAAACAAAATATATTCTTCATCATTGCTTGTTCCTTGGCTGTGAAAGCAGTTTTTAATAGTTTCTCTCTCATGACTAGAATTAGTATTTCTCTGTTAAACATCACTTAAGAATCTTTTTTGACCTAGAAAGTTATGTTCCCATAATTAGTGTTGTGTTTGCACTTTAAGCTGATTGAATATGTAGATAAAATAGCTAGATAATGATGAGGTTTATTAAATGACAATATTAGATTTTTTGGTACATTCTATATTACTCGTAGGATACAAGAGTGCCTGTTAACACCATGATACACTGGATAGATGAGTCAAATCTACAAAATCACATTGACAAATAGTTTTATTCATTTTCCAGATTTGACCATAATAGCCAGAAACCTCTATATAATACGCCTCACCCACTGCAGATTTCTCATTTACTCCTTCCATGATCATTTTCAAAGCATTTTCTTTTAGTAAATCTAGAAGTGCGAGCCAGTTAAGCGTCTCTCTTTTTTTTCTTTCTTTTACTCCTTTTTTTAATGTGCTGCAGCATCCATAGCCATGGGTTAGGTCTTGGTTATTTGGTCACTATTTCAGATCAAGTGTTCCATTTCACTTAATTTGGGTGATATGTCCAAAATCTTTGTTATTAATAAAAAGAAAAGATTTCAACTTCTTTTATATATGTTTTGATATCATGAGTCTACTATTTTATTTCTTTGATCATTGTTAGCTACTTCTATTATAGTGCATGGTGGAATTGGTGAAGATGGTACTCTCCAATCTTTGTTAGAGGCTGCTGGAGTTCCTTATACAGGTGATAAGCCTGTAACAACATTTTCTTGAACTCCAACTTGTTATTTTAGTATTTTGCTGGGGTTTTTAATTTCAAACGGTGCAGGTCCAGGACCTTTTGCTTCCAAAATATGTATGGATAAAATGCAAACATCTCTTTCTCTTAGCCAAGTAAGGTATCTGTAATATTTTTATGTATATGGTATTGCATAATGTTTTTGCTTTGTGACTATGCCTTTTCAGTCTCAAAACTGTTTGTTATCAACAGTTCTGTGACAACAAATTTGTTATCTTATAATGTTCTGTTTGCCTTAGTAACATAAGTTTCTGACCTAAAAGCTTAACTGAGAAATGGTTTAGTTTTACATTTAAAACACTAGAAGGTCAGATGACAAATTTTCTACTGTCGATGTTATTAATTGTGGATAATAATTTTGTGTTATACATCCTACATCCAAACTAACGGTCTAGGAGCTAGACTTGTAGAATTTTGCCTGACAAGAATGCTCAATGGCTGGAAAAGATCGATGTAGCCAACTCCAAACAAACGTGATATTGTGGGTTTTGGCTTCTCTTTGTTGTTTAATGCAAAGGCCTCCTCCTACAGTGTCCAAGATACAGAAACTTCCAAATTCTGGGGTGAATTTGGAGCAAACTATTTTGTGGCAGCCCACAACTGTGCCATGTTTATCTATGGGATAAGATAACCTCTAAGTCATCGTCTATCATCTCTTTCCCAACTCCTATTCCTATCTCTTTGATATGCACACACTTCGCCAATTTCTTAAACATGTCAAATACTTTCCTGGTTCCAGTCCAGTAAATAAATCTGCTATTCAATTTATAAGCATCGAAAATCATTCCCATGAATAGTGTAAGTTTATAAAAACTAGTGAAAGTTTCTATCTGATGGATGGGGTGAGTACTTTCCCCATCTAGCTATAAATATTCTGAACCATAGTTTGAAATTTTACAGGCCTGTATTAGTCCTTGGCTAGATCGGTATAGGTATGGTTCATAATAGCATACTGACACTTGGTATGACTGTAAGTGCTATGGTAGAGGAGAAATACTGGGAGATACAGTAGGCCAATGCTAGCAGGTGGACAGGAGGTGGCATGAGGCAGGAGAAAAACATGTGCATTCACATTTTTCCCTAAGCCCGCTACCTTATAAAAAGAAAATGACCTTTATTGCCCGAAAGGGGTGGTCTGCATCCTGGTTAAAGCCCATCCAATACATGCCTGTTAAGGCAAAGTTAGGAACCTCGTTTTGAACAAAGATCTTAAGCATTTCTGATATGTGATAATGCAAATGAAGTTATTAAGGATGACAGAATAGTGGCATTCTATGGAAACCAGGAATGATGAAAAATTGCTACCTTTTCGTACCTTAGAAAGTATTATCACTTCTACATCTGATTGTGGCAGAAATGATGTTGCAGGACTGGACCATTCACTATTCAGCAAAAACAAAATAACTTTTTGTAGCCTTAATATAACAATCTCTCTCTTGCCTTCTGTCAAGTGTAATAGCCTTTAATTAGATGTTAAGAGTAAATGTGCCGGCTGAGAACCCAAAGATCTTGCTTTGACAGATATTTGGCAATACTCAATAGGTCATGCTTGTAAAATGAGTAAAAGGAGAATAAAAGAAAAGGTTCCTAAGAAAAATTTAAGGTTTTATATTAGGCAAAACCAGTGTTTTAAATACCAGTCTAATAGTCATTTCGGTAATTGACTAGTCTGATATGGTACCAAGATATTTTCCTGTATATCAACCTACATTACTGGTGCTTGGTCAAACTGGTAAATAATGGTTGATATTGGCAAAAATATGGGCATAACAGTTGGAGGAGGCTGTAATAAGTTCATTAGCAAAGATGATAGGAGTGCAAAGACAATTTAGTATATTCAGGATTAGCCAAATATGATGACTACTCTAGGAATGCAGAATAAGTTTAAAAAAAGAGGATAAATTTAAATTATCCTCCCATCTTTCGTATAGAAATCAAGAACTATATCCAAGTCAAATTCTAGGATAAAGTTAAGACCACCTTTTCCTTTGTTGGTTTATGAAAGCAAATGAATTATTAGCATTTGTATGTCATAGAACTTATGTGCAGCCTGGCATTGTGATGTCTACTCCAGAAACATTCTAAGTTGTATTATTTACTGAAACATATTTTGATACAATAAGTAATGACCATCTTGTCCAAAAGGAGAGAGAAAAAAAAGAGCAAAATTTTAATCCCAAGAGAAGTCATGTTTATTAGACTATATGAATGTTCACTAATGAAGAGATTTCATTAATCTGTACTACAGTCTATAAACTTTTCTTGGGACTATTCATCCTGGCGAATCATATAAATGCCAATTTTTAACTAATTTTATCATGAAGAATGAAAATTTAGGAATTTAGAAGCATCAGAATTTTATGAACTCTTTGGTCTACACGACACTTAGTTCAATATCAGTGGTTCAGATCCTTAAAAGAAATGTCCTGTGTCATATTTAGTGCATAATTTTTAATTTTTCCACCTTTTAATGTTTGGTGTACATACAACACAGCAAAGTCATAAAGTCCCAACTATTGGGATTTGGATCTTTTGTCATCATTGAAATATGTAAAACACTGTAAAGTCCTACTTTTTAATGGCTTGATGTACATGAAAAATGGATTTCAAATTGCATCAATTCTGGTTTCTTGGCCTTCTCTGTTTTGTAAATGTGTTCGGCAGAGTTGATTTTCAACTTGTAGCTTGCATCTTAATTTTAACTGGTATGAGGCCTGGGTTCTGTATCTTTATTATTATTACTTTAATTTTGAAACAGTTGACAAGTTTGGGAGTACTTACCATACCTAAAGTTGTTAGGAGAAAAGAAGAATTACTGAATTCTTATGTACCTGATACCTGGCAAGCTCTGACAAGTGAACTGCAATCAAGGTCATTATGTGTCAAACCAGCTCGGGATGGATGCTCAACTGGTGTTGCTAGATTATGGTATGAAGACCCTGTCAAGGTCATTTTGGTTAAAATTTGGTGGTAATGAGCAAGTACTTGATTTATCTGCTTCTCAGTTTCAGTTTTAATGATAATAGTGTATTTGCAGCTCCATGGAAGATCTTGAAGTCTATGTAAATGCATTAAGGAACTCCCTCCCACGTATACCCGCTAATAGTTTGTTAAAGGTCTGCAATACTCACTGTCAATTTAGAACTTTCAAGATATGTGCTCATAAAAGTGTAGTTTTTGTTAGTTCCATTTTTTTTATAAATGGGCATCTAAAAGCAAAAGAATTTATTATTCTTTTAGTTGACATCATATATGGTTTATTTCAAGTTCTACAGGATCTTGTTTCGTATGACCTGATCTGTTGATGTAGTGATGATCCATGATTTGGTGTCTTATCACATGCCAAGACACATTAGTTAACTAAGTTATGTCCATATATGTACATACTGGCATGCTGGTTCCTATTTGCTGTTATGGGAAAAAACATGGGACATAGGTATGTACCTCTTTGGTATATTGGTAAAAAATGATCATAAACATGCTTTCATCAGCAAGGAACTCAATTTAATATTTGATTGTGACAGTGTTTATCTATGTTTCTTGGTTGATGCTAGACCAGATGTACAGAATTATACACCTTTGTCAAATAGGATCATTGAAATTTGAGTGCAGTGTGTTTGCCAGAAATGAGTATTTGTAAAATTGTATTGCTTGGAAATTGGCATAGTTATTGTTCTTTAACATGCCTGAGTTCGACTGGCAGAGTATGTAGTACCTTTTTAAAAATGTTCAATATATTTTTCATGGGTTCAGAAACTTTTTAAAAATGCTATGCTTTTAGATTCAAATGAAAATACCTTTTTGATTATGTTCTTCCCTATAACAGTCACTTCTTGTTTTTTTGTTAAGGATCATGATATCTTCCTTTTGTGGTACTTGGCATCATCTTTTGTGGATTACATGAAACCTAATACCATTTTTTATATTAGCATATATGAAGTGATATTTCATTTCATTTTGTCCCTGTACTTCTAGCAGACAAACTGTTTTAATTTCCCTTGACAAATATATACAGATAAATGATCTAAATAAATTGTTTTGGAGTTATATTTTTATAGGGAATTAGCTAAATGATATCAATTCAAGTGTTTTTCTGTCTTCTTACTACATCCATATTATCTCGTTCTCCATACCTATAAATTTATGTTTTTAATATTTTCCAAGTGATGGATTTTGAACACCATGAACATGTAACATTTGAGTTTACCATAGAAAAATTATACATGCTGTTTTGTTGGTGACTTAATTATGCCTAACTACTTCCTACAAACTAACTCCTAAAAGTGAGAAGTTGTTTCTAACAATTGCATATCTTGAGCCAATGAAAGCTTGTCTAGAATTTTTTTCACCTTGAACTGTAAATTCTTTAGTCAATGAACACTTTGTGTGTTGGTAGTATCTTATAATACTTAAAAATATTCCTGGCATTGTGTCTAATCTAATTGTGATTCTTTTAGTTGATATTTGATTTTCTGTATTAGGCACATGGGGTGATCGAAATGCCAAGCCCTCCTCCTCAGTCATTAATTTTCGAGCCTTTTATTGAAACAGATGAAATAATTGTTTCATCCAAATCACTGGATAGTAATGCTCGTCATCTTATATGGGAAGGACATACTGGATGGGTTGAAGTGACAGTTGGTGTCATGGGTACACGTGGTGAGATGCATTCACTTAGTCCTAGTATTACTGTCAAAGAAACTGGTGACATTTTATCACTTGAAGAGAAATTTCAAGGTATGTTTCTCATTTAATGTTGTCGTACAGGTCCTGAATATATTTAACTAATTATTTCTTTTCCACAGTTGATCTTATTGATATTTTATCTTGAAAGGCATGCCATTTAGATGAGGAGTACCAATTGCATTAACAAATGTGCTTTCATGAATTTTCTGCAGTGTCTTAGCTATGATTTAGAATAATTACAGTGATTATCATTTTTTTCTAATATTGCACTTTGGCCTTCCATAGTTGCCTTCAAGTTTTCCAATGCTTTTTCTTATTCATATTACCTCCAGATGGTACTATCAGTTTAGCTTATTACTAATGCTCTTTGTATCTAGATTCTCTAATTGTACAAAATACATCTTTGTATGTAGATTTTAATCACCTATAGACAACATTATTATATTGCACTATGTTGCTATTTTAATTTTTAAGAATTACCATGTTGGTATATCCAGATCATGTTGTACTCGTATCAGTGTCCATTCATTATAGATTGCACTCTACCAGATTTAAAGTTGAAATTTTTCTTAACAAAGAAACTATTTAGGAGAAAACATTTAATTGTTCTAACTTCTGTGGATATTTGCTTATGTAGGAATGTTATTCTTAGCAACAAGTCCTTAGCTACAATGTCATCTGAACATTTTCTAAATTCTAAATTTCAGCTTATGTGTCAGCTTCATCTTTATCAAGCTTATTTATTCCTCGGTTTCTTGAACAACAATGTAGTAAAGTTCTAATCACCTAATTAAGAAAGAGAGGCATCTGTTAGCTAGGAAAGGTTTTGCTATCATAGTGAATGATCCCTGATTTTATGTTATTTGTCATCTTTGCTCATGTTTCTAATTGATACTTATTTTTTATTAAGTACTTCGTATAATGTGCATCTCATTCATGTTATCATTTTGGATGCTTCAAGGAACAGTCATTGTTTATAATTAACAATTAATTATTTGTATATGTGCATTTTGCAGGTGGTACTGGCATCAACTTGACACCACCTCCAGCAGCAATAATAAGGTTCATCTCAAAATCCTGTTATATAATTGCTGATTATATGGTTTTTAACATTTGACACAAGAATTGACAAATGTACTAAAACGTGATAATTATAACTGCAATTTTTTGGCCATTTATTTGATCATTCAGATGCATATCATAATTTTGAAATTGTAACGTTGACCACTATCTAAAGCCTGAAAATAAAATACTTATTGAGATTCTGAGTTTCTATGATGTGGACATAATTTGGATGCTATGTGCAAAAATGCTAGTAATAATAATTTGGATGCTATGTAATTGTGAGTTTCTGTGAGGTAGATATTTGGAATCTGTAAATTGTGATAATCTTTTCGGTAGAGCAGTTAAACCTCTGTTATTTTCCTTTGGCACTTCAAGAGTTGGAAAAGGTCAGGATTTTGTTCAGTCATTATTAACATGCACATTTTGTCTGAGATTGTTATGTTTTGGTTTTTAACGACTGATGATATGACTCCAAACTAGATCTTATGATTGATTTTTTGGCGTGCGGGATCTGTCAATCTCATTTCATAATCATCATTAAGCAGTAAAAAAAAGCATGCTAATTCTTGTAAGTTTGGCAAAGAAATTTCTATAATGATTCAGGTTCATTATGTTATATGGTGCTTTTTTAACCTGGCTAATATCATTGCTCACAACCAAAAATAAAAAATAAAAATTAGAACTTTCTTCACTTGCAAGTAATTATCAAACTGCAAGAGTTGAATCTTTTTCACTGTCAGGCCAAAGCATCAAAAAAGGAGGGTTGCAATAGGCAGCTAACAGCCATTTTATATGGAAATAGTTGGGACATTTTTGCTTGTTTGTTGTTGTGGTGGATCAAACAGGTGTAGGCTATTGGTCTCATCCACATGGAGAAATGCCTGTGAACTAGTAGAGGTGATGTGTTGCAAAGTCCTGCTGCTTCTCCGCAGCATGTCAAATATAGCACAGATCTTTTAAAAGCCCAAAATGCTAGACATATAGTCGTTTGCTTTCTTTCTTTGTAGTTCTGTATGTTTTATCCTTTAGGTAAGGTAGAAGAATCCTCCCGAAATGTTTAAGTAGAACCTGTCTTTAATTAACTTGATTAATTGGCGTTGGACTTGTATATTCAGGATGACTTGAAGACAGTATAATTTAGGTGACATAATATTCATTCTTCTACATGTGCTTTCTGAAGGAGTGTGTTCTTGTCTTGCTGAGTATTTCCTTTGGCCTTTTCTCACAGTGATGAAGCCTTACAAAGATGTAAACAACGAATTGAAATCATTGCAAATACTTTAGGATTGGAAGGATTTTCTCGGATTGATGCATTCATGAATGTGCAAAGTGGGGAGGTATATTCTTCTCATTAATTTATTGATCCTTTTCTCTACATTTTAATTAATGGTAATTTACATCATGGATCTGTTTTCATTAAAGGTGCCATCCATCATTGTTCAGCTTGAACTCGGTTTTCATGAGACTAGCATATTTTTGTTCGAAGTAATTTCTTGTACTTGTAGCTCTCGTGTCCATCTCAATCATTGATCATACTGATCTGAAAATTGGGCTTCCTTTGTCCTGCTATGACGGATAGATTCATCTTTTAAATGGAGTGTGGTACCATTTGATGAAATGTCTTTTGCTGCAACCGAGCTTAGCCAAGTATTATGCTGCTTGTTGAGATCATCCCTGCTTTCCTAGTTTCATTATTTAAATTGCATTCCATCTGAAAGCAACTAACTTTATCCCGTAGATGTTGAAATAGCTGGTACATAGCCATTCCAACCCCCCTTACTTTATTCACCTCATCTAAACAGCCGAATCAGAGGTTGTGTGAAGTATATTATCTCTCTGCATGCTAAGTATCCTACAGAAAGTAAATTGCAGCATCCGATCATATTGAAGTAGGCTTATTTTGGTAGCTTGTAATAATTTGTTACATACTGCAGTTATTTTAAAAAGTGCTTGTCAATTTGTCTTTATCGTATCCACTGCCTGTTGTACAATTCTCATAACCCATTAAATGTCTGTTAACAGGTTTTAGTGATAGAGGTTAACACCATACCAGGGATGACCCCATCGACCGTCTTGATTCATCAGGTAATTCATTAGATCTGTTGTGACAATTGCAAGAGTCACTCTATAAAAGATGCATCCACCACTTGGGCGTAATGACCATCGACTCTCTTTTCAGGCCCTTGAAGAACAACCACCCATACGTCCTCAAGATTTTTTTCGTACCGTTCTTGAGTTTGCTCGGCAAAGATCGAATTAGATCCTTCTCCATCATCCAAACTACAACTCAGTATCCTAATTAAGGCACTTATTAAGGGAATAAATAATTCGATCTCTTAGTGTCATTCTGGTTGCTCTTTGTTTGAGCCCTATTTATCATATTACTGTTTTGTGTTTTTACTTTATAATTGATTTTTAAGCAAATGGTCAGTGATGAATGCTAGTTTTAATCCCCAGACTTTACAATAATTTAATAAAGTTTTTGTTAGATAAGCCGGTTAGTTTTTCGCCTTAGAATTTGCTGGATGAAATTGATTCAAATGTTTGAGGTGTTTTGAACTTGAGGTCTTTTGATCAGATGTTTGAGGCGTTTGCTACGTTGTTGACACAAAAAGGCATCGAGTCTCCAAGTTACAGTTTTCATAACGTTAGATCTTTTGTGCTCAAGTATTTTTGGGTTAGCGATTCGATCTAAACAGTTAGTATATCAGTTGTCTTATCAAGTCAGATGTTGACTAATCATATCAGAGTCAACTATCAGACATGTGATTGGTCGAGTTGCTATTGAGCTTAGTCTCGTATGTATGTATCGTATTAAGGCAAGATTTGATTTTATATTGTGTTGATCTCGGACATTAAGTGGTTTTCTCTCTCGTCGAAAGTGTTACTGTTTCGGGATCATCATCATCATCACCATCATCATCATCCTCAATCCGGCATATACCGGACATGCAAAGTCGACCCCATACAATTAGGATTATGGCTTATCGATCTGTGTCGGACATATCCCGGTATTGTGATGATCCATTATAATTAAGATTTAAGATGAAATTTTCTTAGCTTCTCTGCCATATTAATTAATCCATCATCCGTCATATAATTAACCAATTGCACCAACAGATTATGAGAAACTCAGCTCAGATCTGCATAAAAAAGATGGGACATGGCAGTAGGAATAATACGCACAACCTTCGTTAGCTTCCTACTCTATACAACAACTACATGTGACACCAAAATAACTGCGAGCACGAGTACTACAGTATCTATCGCTAGATGGCGAGAACAAGGCCGGGGAGGGAGCGGCCGAGGTGAGCCCGGGCCTCGCTCTGCCACACGGCGGAGCCGCCGCCCCTCGCCACGGAGTCCATCCCAGCCTCCGCCGGGCGGAGCTCCTGCACCGTGACGGCGGTGTTGAAGTACTCCCTGAAACGGGTGATGACGCCCCCCTCCACCACCCACGCGTGGACCCAGTACGCGTGCTTGCCCTCCCACCCCTCAGCCACCACCCACCCGCCCACCTCCGCCACCCTCCGCGGCCGAAACCGGAAGTCGCGGTGCCCCGCCTCCCCCGTCAGCAGCCGCCTCATGTACTGGCACCGCCTCGGCCCGTGGAACCACCACTCCACGTCCTCCGCCATCAGTGCGGCGGCCGCCGCCGCGTCGTCCCTCGACAGCGCCTCGTACAGCGACTCCACCACCTCTTTGAACGCCATGGACAGTAAGGCAAGGTGCGGCGCTGAATGCCCCTGTGCGGTGAACGCAAGGAGATGGGAGGACGCGGTGGTGCGCATTTATAGCGTTCGTGCCAAGGAAAACGACAACGGGATTAAGCCAAGCGATTTAGGCCACGTTTCGTACACATGTTATACAAATATGTATGTATATACGGTTGTTGTCATCAAGCTTTTAATACTGTCAGGGTACACGACACCGACGTGTATCATCATCATCATACCTGATCGAATCATGAGTTTGGTGGAATTGAAGCACCGGTACGCATGAGCCGAGTCGGGCTTCATGTATAGACAAATGGTCTCGAGCGGGTTACCGCACGGGGAATTGAAGCACCGGTACGATGACCTTTTGTCCGTCATCAAAAAGTAGGCGATGTGTTGTTATCGAATTTGACTCTGTCCCAGGCGACCTTTTTGAAGTCGGAATCACAAACGTGCGTAAGATGCATTCCGCCCTAGCCACTTCACATGAATCACTGCTCTTTCTTGCCTTTATGTGTATTCAAGATCGGGTTAATTATATATTATATATTATATTTTATATTTATCTTTAATATATTTAATTTTATATTTTAAAAAATATATTGATATTTTTATAATTATAAAAATAAAAAATTATATCTATTTATTTTAATATCATCGATTTTACTAATAAAAATATTAAAATAAAAAAATAAAAAATAATTTTAATATTTTAATTATTGATGACGAACAATAAGAGATGATGATATTAAAGTTGGGGTCATAGGTGATTATTGTGGATGAGGAAAACAACGATAAGATATTATGAGTGTTTTGTATGTACATCGACATCGACGTAATTGTCGAGTGATCCTTTTACTGCTTTATATTTACGTAAAAATTGCTCGCTTATGTATAAATCGACGTAAATATAGAGCGATGCCATTTAACAATTACGTCGGTGTCGACATTGATGCAAAACGATTTTCATCTATTGTCATCGTTTTCCTTATTCACGATAGTCACCCACGACTCTCAAAGGCGCCGTCGTCGACCTCCGTTGATACGGTGAATATAAATATTTTACTTTCGTAATTATAAAAATATTAATATAATTTTTTTAAATATAATAATCTCTTTTAGTTAAAAGATAACTAAAATAATATATAATTAACCCTTCAAGATCACGGGAACTAATTACGTGATAGAGCGATCTACTAAAGAATGCATTTCTCCTAGAGATGTGCTAAGACACATCAATAACCTGATGGGACTCGCACTGAGTTCTCAGCCACTGCTCCCACCCATTCCATCGAGACCTCATTTCTTCCTTGGATTTGATTGACGTGCACGTGGCGTGCATGCACCCTAAAAGCCAGGAGCAAGAATGGGAAGATGAGCCTGCGAATGACGCCAAGACGTGGACATCTCATTTAAGAAGGTACACAAGACGAGACGGAGGAGACTAGTTGCGAGTGCCACGTTACCAAATCTGCTGCATATCTTATAAAAATTATTACTGGCTGCAGCCATCGATCTGTCTGTCGTCTGCATTCGGTGTTTCTTGCTGCCTCCACCTATTAAACAGCCACTGCGTTTGCTACGTCAAATCTTGCAGTGCAGGCGCAGTAGATATTGTTACTTCATTCATGTCCCTCCACGAGAGATGTGTCGACTGAAATGCAATCAAGTCCGAGAGCAGGAGATTCTTCACTTCTCCCTGCGAGTTGACATCTGAAAGAAGAAAATATATTTTCTTTTCGTGTAAGAGAAAAAGAAAATGCTCACATTGATATCACCAGATAAGAAATGTGAAGTACCGTGATTGCCCCGGTGATGCAAGTCGTAATAAATCCATCAATCCATGGATCATAGAAATTCTCTGAGACACAGGAGGAAAACTCGGATGGTTGCTGGTGCAATGAATACGACCGGATCCTCTGAACTATGATTGAATTTTAGGAGGCAATCACTGTCATAAATATGCTCATATAATTGCCCCATCCACAGCTGTGGGTGATTCAGGCAGACAATGGCCTCAGAAGAACAGCTGGGATGGCTCGAATTCCAGTGATTTTTAATCAGATATCGGTACGATTTAAGATGCCATTTGTCCCGCCAACCCATCCACAACAGCTAATGATCTTCGAACAGGACAAGTATTGCTTCTCTAGAATCGATGCAGAATTTGTGACACGAGGCATTCAACCTTTCATCAACGTTTTCCAATTGACTGAAATGCCTTTAAAGCCCTTCGACCAGCTTTAATTCGAAGCACCACTGCCTTCACGTACTACAAATAAAGAACCAAGTTAAAAAGGGCCCCATGAACTGCTGCCGCTCAGCAGATAACAGCTAAGTTTCAAGGAAACCAATATCAAATAGTATGGACCTTTCTCTGCAGATACTGCACGCATTACCTGAAACCAAACTTCCCATCCTGCTGTCTTGTGTGTCCATGTCGGTCGCTTTGAGGAGTATTTAAACCCTTTACAGCTTGGATTCACCATTTTATCCGCTTCTGTGGCTCCTCCAGCTCGTCAGGGATACCATGAAATGAATAGTTCCGCGTGTACTGCAATCTGATTCATTGGAGACAGATAACACCAATCAAGTTCACTGGGACCAGGGCATGGGAGGTTTAATAATGCTATCTATCATCATCGTTCCATCTCTGACAGACTTCAAACTCACTCGTGGTCTCCTCTTCAGAACAGCCTCAGACGGGAACCCATTCCCAAGTGTTGGTATAAAAGCATTGCATGTATGGATATGAGCACTCGCCAGCTGCTTTTGTCGGTCAGAGTTGGCGTGTGAAATGAGTTGTCAGCTTTTGTCCATTTCTGCTGCTGGCAGATTGTGATGACAGAGATATGAAGAAGTCAATGAGAAGAGTATGAAGGAGAGGCAGCGTAGCGTAGCTGTGTTTTGGCTTTGTACCTTGTCCAGCTTATGTAGCGTCTGGGTTTCTCCTCAGCAACAAACCTGTTCCAACTTATCCGATATGACAAGAAAATTTGAGCTATAGGCAATTATGAGTTGATGATGCACTTAGACATAGATATGCATTAACACCACAAGAAAGCGAGCAAGCTTCGAATCGGCAAAACTTTTAACTCTTATGTTGTTGCATTGATGAAAAATCTGTGCATCATATTCACCGTATCAACGACAGCATCGAAATGTACGCATCTTAATGTCTGCATTCATTATAAGTTATTTTAGCTGTCCTACAGACTGACAATAATTAATTAGTTTCTCTATAATAAACTAGCATTTTATGGTTGTAGTCCAAAGACTTCGAACAACATACACGTGAGATAAAATGTGCATCTACTATATTTTTTTTTTCGTCCATGAATAAAAGAACAAACAGAGAGGCTGAAAAAGTAAATTACCTTTGATCCAAGCCAGACTGACCACATAGCTTCTTTTCCCAAGTAGGTAGTGTCAAGTGAAAGATATATACGTATCCAACACTGCATCAAAATATAGACATATTAAAGCACTGCATTTTTATTTCAAGAAAAAGAAAACTTAGATTCCTGAGTTAAAGTTCTACGGTAAGAACTGTTAGTCGTTGAGCAAATACAAGGATAACTCGGGGGGATAATTGTCCTTTCAAATCATTGATACATTAGACACCCTAGTATTTTTTGGTAACCCAATTAGTTGTTTGGTTACATTCTCTACTACAGTATAGAAAAATATAATAAGTAAATTATTGAAGAAGTGCTTTGATATCCTGAATGATGATCCGCAAATGCCAAAGGTGGAGCAACGTCTTTGGTAAATGTGTTGCACAATATCGAGGAATCTGTTTCAATCTGAATACGAATGAATCCTCGATTTGAAGCAAACAACCCTTCTTTAGTGGCCAATGCTTCACATTATATGTCCATTTTGTGTTGGACATGTATTTTCCCAACTCCTAAACATGCTCTCAAGTGATTATGTAAGGCAAATCCAGCATCTCCATCCTGCAAATAAGAGAAGCCATCAGTACTGATTTTAATGCAACCCTATGGAGATTTATGCCATTGCAATGGTAGAGAATTGGTCATTTGTAAGCCTTCAAGTATGGCTGATCTAGCATAGTAACTAATATGAGTAAAGGCTAAAGTCCAAACCCACCAGGCAGAGGGTGCTTATTATTCAACAGTGATTCATTTCTTTCTCCTTAATTATATTTTTTACTTAGTATGTTTATATTTTTTACCTGTATTGTTCGGGTGAGCGCCTGGTGCCTAGAGTGACTTCACACTTTCATGCCTTTTTTGTGCCTATCACCTTTGACAACAATACGGTTGGTGAAAATTGTTCCTAGTTTATATTTTTGCAAGTTTGTTTGTCATACAACTCCTACATCCAAACATCATTGTGATCTTGGATATGTTAAAAGACTTGTAAACTTTGTTGATGAAAACTATAATGGGGCACTTTTTGGGCATGCAAATGCTTTGTAGCTATTTTGCTTGTATGTAGACAAATAATATGCCTAGACAAAATTTATTTAGCAACCAATATGTTGCATTCTTCAATGCACCTTTTTCCCTTGCATGTACTTTTAATTTTATCAAACTAAGTTTAGCATTAGGGTGTCATGAATATGGCTCTAACAATAGTTTGATGAGGTTGAAAGATAGAATATGGTAAGAACTGAAGTTCAACGAACTGATTAGTTCCAGTAACAAGTCATAGGAGTCAAACAAAAAAAAACGTCATAGGAGTCACATATTCATTTAACACTGGTTTGAGTATCTTGCTAAGAGGGACAAAACAGCGGATGACCCTTCCACTAAGGAAAGATAAGATTGTCTTTAGAAGAAAAGAATGATATAAAAAGTCTAGTGCTATCCATGACAAAAAAAGCATGTGTCATGGGTCATCATCAAGAAACAAATCTCTATTCTGCGTATGGGAAAACACTATTAGTATCTTACGGCAGACACAACACTTGCACAAGGACAGGTCAATAAAGGTCTCGTCATTTTAACACAGTCTTGGTTCAATCAATATGTTCACTCAAACAAAACAAGGGAACATATGTGTTACTTCATAGTCCTATTAGAGTCTAATAACAGATAAAAAGGCAAAGAAAACAATAATATAAACATAATGATTTCAATAGGAAATCCACTTTAGTGTCCAGCCACAACAAATTCATAAAGTTCATAACCTGAAATCTAGTTTGTAGAAAGCTAGAAGTATCTATGTGGCATTTGAAAGATAAATTCAGCTAAAAGAATCAATTTTACTTTTTTTTATGACTTATGCTAATGACCATAAAATTTCCTTAAGGTTCTTTATTGCCAAAGCATCAGTAAATTAAACTACAAGTATAAATTTAATCATGAGACCAAGAAAACAAGGAAACTAGTGATATTTGAAATTTAGACAAGCGTATATGCAAAGGCATACGGCTCTATATGTTTTGAGAAGACATACCACATGTCTTAATGGCTCTAGTGAACCACATGGTGGAACAATGAAGTGCTATGTTTAGAAGTAACAATTTGGCAAGCACTAAAAGGTCAGAAGTGTTCACATACACTTCCAACTTAAACAGTGCCGTACGGAAACATGCTTCGGAGAGAGTTCAATCCGAAGTCTGGACAAACTCATGACCAGTTGAGATTACTTAACTCCTACAACCTTTTGGTTAGACATACAAGGAACCATTGGATAGCAGTTTGAGATTACTCTTATCCACGTTTTTTAGGTGCCAACTAGATTAAATAGTAAAGATCTTGTAATATTTATTAGAGAAAAATCAAAGGGTAGAATGTTTTGAGAAACCAAAAAATAGAAAATATAATTTATCATAAAAGTACTCCATCAGTTATGAAGATAAAAGAAAAATACAAGAACAGAAAAAACTATGTACCAATGCAATGTCAAGGCATCCAGATATAACAGAACTTACCTCCAGTAATGAGTTTCATGTTGAACACCAAATGCTGGCATAATCACCACTGATTCTACATTGTTCAAGAAAAACCATAAATTGGTGTGTGAAGTCTCCAGCGAAAAAGAAGAAGAAAAAAGAATGCAGGTTGTCAAAACAGCTCTGTTTAAGACCAAATGAGCCCTTCTATTGGTGTCAAACTCATTCAACATCAATCAAAACATATTTCACCTTGTTAAAGTTGTTCGACAACATAAAAGAAATATGTAAATAAGAACCGAAAAGTAGTACTACAGTTATCACATCTTATATGGCATCAGTTTTTAATTATATAACAACAATTATATTGAAATCTGCTCATTCAAATTAACTAATTCAAACATGAAAGAAGTCATGAATCAAAGGCAGCTTAAAATACAAAAAAAAAAAAAAGTTTGAAACTTCACCATTCTTTACAGGATTGTAATGCAAGACTTTTGCCATGAGGAAACACACTAGAGTTTTCCAAATCGAGCTGACACACAAGTCCTGTTAGACAAAAATTCTGTGAGGCATCAGCAACTAAAGCAAGAGCAAGTTTATGCCCACAACCTATACAAAGTGTCATTCTAAAAATCCTCCCTTGAAACATGTCTTTTGGCAAATAAAACCTACAGATACACACAATAAAAGCCATGAGAATGGTTAGGAGATACCTTCATCATAATTAAATAAAAGGTAATCGTAAGAAACACAGCAACCCCAAAGTAAGATAAGAAAATCTGTAATCTGCACTTCACTATAACATCATGAGCATCGATTGCTTGAAATAAACCTTTCCCATCCAGATTATTATAGTTGTATTTTCTGTGACAAAGTAAACCTTGAGACATTATATCTAAATCCAAATGTTTAACATTTGAAGTAGGTAGTCTTCAACACATATGTCCACATGCCCACCGCATCTCTGTACCTACCTGCATAAATTAAAACGAAAAGTGAACTGATGCTCAGTTGTGTGGCTCTAATCAATGCATCTAAAAGATAGCTGCCCATTATGAATGCAAAAGTAAATCATATATAAGATCCTCAGATCATCTATCAACATTAGGTTTATTCATGTAGACCACGAATTCTTAAAACTAAGAAACATGCTAAGCAAGAAATTGATTCTTTACTAAGTGCTACTAAAAATAACAAAAAAGTGAAAAAATATGACACAAACTGAACTTATGCATAAAAAGGTTTTCATCTAGTTTGGTATGTAAACCATATGAATACAGGTCCTTGGGTAAAAAAACCAGGAACACAAATAGTATGCACTACAAAAAAAATTCACTGTAAATGTGAGGAATACACCAGCAGAAGAAAATATAGAAAAAAATTATTCTGAGCAAATTATGCCATAGTGAAAGATAAATTGTATAGAGAGCAGCTACAAAAGAAAGATGCTTGTTAAATTAGCCTCAAGGAAGTCCTATGTAGCAACTTAAAACTCCAATAGTGCTTGATCAATGTGCATTAAATCAATGATTTGAATACCGTACCATATCCCCCAGTACGGGTGGTATCTACCGGTCCGCCAGCAAACCGGCACGCGAACTGCCCACGACCGGGTAGTATCATGTATTTGGCCCCGTATCAAGCGATATAGGGCTGTACCGGATGGTAACGATCGAAATTTCAACTGGTACCGACCAGTACTCAATGTGCATTAAACCAAGGATTTGAATACCGTACCATACCGCCCACGGGCGGTATGTATCGGTCCGCTAGCAGACTGGCACACTGACTGCCCACTACCGGGCGGTATCAGGTATTTGGCCCCGTATCGGGCGATACGGGGCTGTACCGGGCAGTAATAGTCGAAATTTCGATTTCAACCGTTACCGATTTATATCGGTTTTCAAATGGTCAATTTGACAGTTGGAGGCATTCTAAAGGGCTTTTAAACCCTTTCCTCCCTCCTCTTTAAATCCATTTCACTCTCGCACTCTCTTAAACTCTCTCAGACTCATTTTTACTCACAATCTCTCTCTTATTCTCACATTTTCACCCTCCTAAACTCAACAAAGCAACGATTTGTGGATTAGATCAAATTTAGAAGGCTAATTTGAGAGGATTAAGAGGAAGAACCTTTTAATTAAGAGATATGATATGAAGTAGTAGATTAGTAGCGAAAGTATAAGTTTTGACATTCACTAATACATGCCTCAGGAGCTGCCTCGGACACGTGATTCACGACGATCAACCTACGACCATCACCACATTGATTCACCAATGACATACGGTGTACCAATACACTATGTCATGAGATCAATTTCAGGATTGGGTCCGGCAAGCATCTTATATTGATATACAGATACATAAGATTGAGAATCCCGATCCACCACCCGTGGAAGCCCGTCGTTCATTTTGGTGATAGAATCAGGTATATCTACACATATGATTACTTAATTCATTTGAATCTTAAAGTTTAAGTTGTATACAAAATAATCTAACAATTCAAATGATTTTTCTATAGATAATTCAATATTAACGAAAGGACGATCCAGAATGAACCAAAATTACGAACCTTGCACAAGACTACTCCTCAAAGCCCGAAAAAAATATATGACACTATTCTTACCTAATTTACATTAGTTTTTCTAAAACTATACTAAATGTATGTTTATTTCTAACTTAAAAACCAGTGATTTAAAAAGGCGCTCGGGTGCTCGCCTAGGTGCTCGGGCGAGGCGAGGCAAGGCCCGAGCGCCTCGCTTCACTTCCAGGCGGCGCGCTTTAACCCGAGCCCAGGCGCTGGGCGCTTCGGGGGAGCACCTGGGTTAAACCAAGCGATCGAACCAGCGTTTTAGGTCTGGTTCGGTCTCCGATGCTTTAGTTGGTTCAATCAAACCAACTAAAGCACCGATATCATATGTCGCTGCCAAACACTAACCCTGCTCGTTACCGCTCCCGTTGCTCGTTGCCGCTCTCGCTATCGTTGCCTCCTTACACTCCCGCTCCTGCTCCTGCTCCCATTGCTGCTTCCTCTTTTCTCAGTCAGCACCCCCTTACACTCCTCTTCCTTCTTCTCCTTTTGTATACTGTTAACAATATACTAATAATAGTATTTGTATTTATTAGATTAATAATATATTATTTTAAAATTTGAAACTTTTTGTTAATGTGACATTATGATTTTGTATGTTAGATTTTTTTTAATTTAATAGCATATTTTTATTTAAAATTTTAAATAATTATATTTATTAATTATATTATATATTTTTATATTTTAGCGTCTCGCTTCGCTCGGGCGTTTTTGGACCTTAGCACCTTTTGACGCCTAGCGCTTTTTAAATCACTGTTAAAAACCTATCCTAACTTTTTTTTACTTTTCAAGTATTTTCGAATGGTTTTATGATTATTTTAGGCCTACTGCTCAGTACGCTATACCATACCGAGCAAAGCTTGGTACACCAATACGGTACGAGATTAAAAACCTTATATCAAACACAACTTACAAGCATAATATATGGATTTTAACTATAAAGTAATGCTCAAAAACAAAATTTCATGAGTGGACAACATTAAGCTTCATACTAGTCCGACTCGAGGCCCTCGTTATGCCCCAATACTAGGTAGGTCAGTTTGATACTAATTGTCATAACCCGACCTGATAGGATAACTGTCTTGTTAACTTCATTGGGTTTGAACTACTGGCTCAAAATGTTTAAGCTGAAGTTAATAGTAGTATACCTATCAGACCCTTATACATTAATTTTAATTTTTTCCACTTTCGATATGAGACTAATCGGGATGTTACAGTTAGAGGACCATATTATTTTACTATAGCTTTAATAATGTCCAATGTGATAAGTAAAAGAGGTATCCCTCTACTACTAAGACATGGTTAACCAACTAATTGAATCCAATAGTGACTCCTCTGATCATAATAACCAGAACAATGTAAAGGATTCAATATTTCCTAAGTTGAAAATCTTATATATGCAATGTGAACCCTTGAAAGCATCTCCTCCACTCCTGTGTGATCCATACCTTAAGAAACTTCACATATATCTCTTTTTTTTTTTTGCTTACATCTAACAATTCTGAAATTGCCAGCACTAACACCGGCGTAACCTATAGCAAACTCTATCCGCATGGATCTTACATTAGTTAGATAGGCGCCAAATAACCAACGATGCCAAGAAAATTTCTTAAGCAAATTTTTCTTTCAAAACATAAAGTTATTCTATTCAATTACTTCTACATCTCCTACTAATATATAACTACAAATCATCATGTTGTGAATGAGGTATGTGGAAGACAGTCCTCGATCATTTTCTCAAAACACCCCAACATCATCAAGAATTCAATGCCATCACACCAGACCTATGACCCTAACAGTGTCAATGCTCTAGATCCATTAGCCATCATTATCATCCCCCAATAGCTCTAACTCCGTGGATCTGCCATGTCTCAACCCACCCATAACGCTGCATTGTTAATTCACTTACCAAAAGGCATTACCCCTTCATTGATTAAATAAATACTTCAAAAAACCCTACCACTCTAAGATTAAATAGTTCGCATACCCGCTGCAAACCAAAGAACTTCACATTCACCGCCCGATTAAAGAACTAAATCAGAGTGGGACAAAGGGCTCTGAAGGAAGACCGCTCGAAGCTTCTCACGAGGTGAGAGGATTTGATCAAAGACACCACCTAATGTCAATTCTTGAACCGTAAACTTCCTAGCGACTAATTCCCGTTTAGAGAGAGAAGCTTCCTGGCGATTAATTCTTCTACCCTGGGGAAGAAGAGTAGAGAAAGGGGAGTAGGGATCACCTGATTCTTCTACCACGGAGATGCTTCCTTCTCGATTAATGCCCGCATTGATATGATCCACGTCGTTTAAGGTCTACCAACCTAAGAAATCAGATCGGATCCGAATGCTAGGAGATCCGATTCCACGCTCGATCCGAATATTTCTCGGAGTTCGGATCTGCCTAGGCTCGACGGGAATGAAGAGAAGAAAAGAGCAACAAACAGAAAGAACCGGGTCGGGTATCGGGTTTCGGATCCGAAGATTCCAGGCTTTTGGATCGAAATTGTGAACCGAGTCCGCTCCTATCGGATCCAGATCCGGTCTATTCGTAGGCTGCTATTGCTCACAGACAACAGAGTAGAATTAGACGAGCTCACACTTTTGTCTTCCTCGTGCTCCGTTGGTCGGCGATCGCCGAATAGGAAGCAAGCGAAAGCAGCGGGCTATGCTCTTCCTCGTCCCCGTATGGCGTCGGTTCCTAAGCAAGATATCGTTCCGAAGCAGACGATTTACTTGAAGAATAAGAAGAAAGGTAGATGTTCTTCGGCGCTGTCATGTTTTCTTTTCGTACTCTTTTTCTTATTGATATTGTCGGCTAATAGGGTTATTCATGATGTGTTTTCTTTCTTGATTATAAGTCTTCGTGCCTTTTCCCATGTCGAATGGAACACGATACGAAGCATGTGTTTCGATAAGATCAGACTATCTCAGCAAGAGAGATGTCAAGATTCACCTCGTAGAAGGAATTCTTTGAGAGCTGGTTTTCGTTTGGCGTCTTATGCCATTGTTGTAGACTGGGTTATAGGATATTTGCTTCAGTCTTTAATGCTGTCGTTGAATCTGTACCTTTCACCAATTGCCAAAGTGAAGGGAAAGAAGAAGGTTTGACTTATCGCTTACCATTATCCAATTGAGTTCTGTTTGGTATTGCCATGTACATGCATGTACAAATTTTGTGGCATAATTTACTTTCATTTTTCTGTATATGGCAGAATTGAAGCAATCTCTTTATGCTTGTTTTCTCAATATGAGAGAACATCGGATGTGGTGGCCCTGAAAAATGAAAACAGCCAAACTTCAAGGTCAAGCATGGTAGTTTTTGCTGAAGCTACAGCTTCCATGTTAATGCAATGTGAGAAATGGGAAAAATAACCTTGCCATGTTAATGCAATGTTTGTTTCAGTGGACTGGCAGTGCTATTTCAATCGTTGGTTTCAGCATCAGTTCTTAGATCTTTTAGATAAAGGATCACTTGCTGCATTACTTTTTCTTCTGAACATGTCCTTATCTACATGGTACAACTGGCTATGGATACACAACCTTTTCTAGTGGAATTATTTTGTGTATTCAAGCTCATTTATATGTGCACATATGTGCAATATACATGGTGTAGAAGATTCATTATGCATAAACAAAGTCACAATGAGGTTAGAGATATCTTGGAAGCCAAGTCAGGAGGCAAATATTAAACAAAACTTGATGCTATATGGAAAAATAATGTTAGAGATGAAAGGACTAAAGTATCAAGATTTTACGATTAAACGATTACAACTTAAGGTTCCACAACAATGCTCTTGTGGTGTTGTTACAATTGTATAATAAGCATGAAGTTTCCAGTGATTATACCTCTCAATCTTATAGTTTCAGCCAACATAATTTCTGCAATCTGCAAAAGTTTCTTTTTCCACAGAAATATTAATGTTTTTTCTGAAATTGAATTCCATATGATTTATTCTGTGTTTTTTTTCAGCTGCTAAAAAATGCTGGCTTTGGAGGCATAGCAATCTAACTCTGCTCCTGATGCTCCATAGATGTCAATTTTCTTTCGTTTTGCAACCAGGTTACCATAGAATTTGTGCAATATTTAGCATAACAAATATTCAAGTTCCGTAATTCTACCATTACTTCATATGGATGGTGCCCTTATTCTTCCTGATGCAAGAACAATGAGCAAATCCATTGTCGATGTGTTTCTCCAGTGGTTTCTCTGTTACTAGAACATATTCTGATGATGAGCTCATGAGTTGTTCAATAATCATTGAAATTTGTTTTGTTGAATCTATCAGAGGAGAGCATTACACCACTTAATTAGAGTGTGATCATTATCATACTTATCAAGATATGCTAGAAGAAAGCCCTCGTGTCTTCCTACAAGAAATTGGGTGCCACAAGCAGTATCATTGTTTCATTTGCAATTGGTATGATAGACACCTTATTATGTGCTATTCTTCAAATGGCATGTGTGTGTATTATCGTGACACTCTGCAAAGCTCTTATGTTTGTGCAGGTAGGAAGGTGTTCTCAGAAGCTCTTACGTTCTATGAACTTATTTTCTCTTGAGTTACTAGTTTTGAACTTCTCCAAGGTAATTGATTGTTAACTTTGTACATTTGCACTTATCTTTTACATGCTTTTCCAGATTCCCAACAAGGACAGACAAGTTTGCATGAGCTTCCTGCCGTTCCAAAAGATACCCATTGTATGGGAAGGTTGACCATCATTCTTGAGTTCCTCCATGAGTAACAGATGGTGGAACCTGAATCAGGAAATTGGCCTGGTGGAGAAGATGGCTGATAACCTGTATGCTTCAGCTGCCAAGCAGGCTCCTCATGATTTCAAGATCACGGTTGTCTTCTATGCCAAAAACCAATAGGTGTCACTGATTTGACCATGAAACTTTTCGATTCTGATGCAGAGGGCATTGTTGACTTCAGTGACCTGAAAGGATCCACTTTCTTGACTTGGTTCTCCTGGGAGGTGTGTTCCCTAAGATCACATTCTTGATGCTGATGTTTTCTTCGCATGTAGATGGCATTTAAGTGGTGAGAACCTAACTTCTCTCTGTGCAGCTACCAAAAGCTTCGATCGAAATGTTAATGCTCTACAACCGCTGCTGGATACAGTTTGCAGTCCCCAGAGCTACAGTTCCTCGATTGACCTCGTCAGGTAAGCATAAGTTATTTTGCTCGAACATCCATTTCTACGAGTGTTTGCCAAGTAACAAAATCTTGAAAGCTAAGAGACCAAAAAATGCTATCTCCAGTAAAATAATAAAACTAAAGGAGAGAGTGGAAGAAAGAGGGCCACACGTCGTTGCCGAAATGATAGGTTGGTTATGGAATCGCAGTCATGCTCGCTGTATAATAATATTGCGCAGCCAACCCTGGGTGACGAAGCAGTAATACGTGATGGAAGCTATACTATTATTAGCTAGCATTTGGCAACATTTTGGCCCAGCTATCACCAATCGAGCTGCCAAAACATTGTTTTATTACTTCTAGAGGCTTTTGATATAGTTTGTGTTTTCAAAATGTTTTTTCTTTTAAATTATCAATTCAAATTAGGTTTTTTTATTGCTTTTAAATTTGACCCAACTTTTCATGCCTTATAACGGTAACAATAACAAAATCATAAATCCTAATTATTTATAGTTGGTTACATGAATCTTTTATTATTATTATGATATATAATAATTCATTTTATTTAATTAGTATATTTATAATTTTTATTATGATTTTTTTAATCTTTTATTATTATTATGACCTAATGTAACCAGATTGATATCGACTATATTATTCGACTTTTCTAAAATGATGTTGGAGAAGATATATATATATATATATATATATATATATATAT